AAAAGACACCGTCTTGTTGTTATGTGTTTTCCTTGATATGTCTATGTGAGAAGGTTACTTACTTCTCTTAGCGTGTGACGCCCTGGGCAGGTAGGGACAGTGTTTTGACTTCATTTCTTTACTTAATTAAAATATTGAAGTTCCCTAATTAACCTTTATTACCTCGTGCTGAATCAGCACAGGCCGTTTATGTTAATGCGAAGCGGATATTGGCTAATGTCAGCGGGTAAATGTGACATGTTTAAATACAGGTTAAAGCTCTTACAGCTATGTTAATTTTCTAGAGTTCCTGCGTAGTGTTTGAAGCCAGCACGTTGCGTAAAGTGATGCCCTCTTTTCTATATCCTCAAAATAGTTGCTATATTATATGTGTTCCGTCTTGGCCGGGGTCCCAAAAGCACCTTAAACCTCACACATGTATCCAGCATTGTATTTATATCTATAGAATGGTATTGCATCTGCCTAAATATCAATTTGTATTGTTACAAAATGCCAAATGTAAAGATGATTGGTCCGTTAAAATGAAGCCCTATTCCCTCTCCATTCCCAACACAGAGTCAATCAAAAGTGGCTAGTCTCTGAAATACCCCCATTTCCCCCTGCGAGATGTTGATTTGTTCTTAAAACCATATCTTCTTCTTTCCTGTCCCAACTGACAGCTGCTTTATCTGCTACCACTAAGCAGTCGGTGAAGGTAAGATACTTGCATCACAGAAGGTAGCAACATTCTCAAAATGTGTTGCATCAGTGACAAATGGTACATGTTGCACTTCCCTATTTAGACTTGTACCATACGTTCCCTAATCGTTCCTAGGCGAACAATTCCCTAGGATGTCCATATAGTGGGACAGGATACGCACACCTTTTCGAGAACACCTGGTATCTAGTGATTCATAAACATATGCTCTGTCATTATGTCCACCAATGGATTGTCTGGTCTAGACACGATATTTACAAATGCTCATAATATAGTCCGAACGTTTACTATCGACTCTGCTTTTCTGAGAAATTTCTTATGGATATGGAAGGGGCTTTGGCGCTATTATTTCATGTGGTTCGTTTGCGTGGGCAATGTCTTTTCTTTCTTTACTTTTAAAAACTGAGTGTGAATGATAGATAGTATTATGATTCGTACGTGAAAGGGGTTAAAAAACAACAACAACACAACAATACTACCTTATATAGGGCAGGTTGTTCGCCTGTGTTTCTGGCATACTTTTTAAATGGTAATATTCGATGGGTATCAGTTTGATATTTGCCATGGAACGCTACAGACCAAACAAATATGAGAACAGGGATTCATATGACTTGTGACATGTTGAGAATGAGGCTAAGGGCCCCGCTTGAGCAACGTGATCGTTCAAATTACTTCAATGTGAGACTTCATAACGAGGTTTTAGGTAGATATACTACTAACTAGATGTATGTACAATTCAGGATCCATGTGTGATGTTTAAGTTTCTTATTATGGCCCGGGACAAGTCAAAGACTTAACACTTTTGATAGAGGCTGGATATGTTTGGAATGGAGGGGGAAACGGGCTTCACTTTAACGGACCAGTTATCTTTACATGTGGCATTTTGTAACATTGAAAATGATATTAAGGAAGATATAATACTGATCTGTGGATCTAAACAAAATTCAAGACACATGTGTGTGAGATCTATGCTGCTTTTGACGGCTCGAGCCAAACAAAACCGAACAATTGTCAAAGTGTGGGGAAAAGATCGTATCATGTACCTGTGGGCATGCTTTAAATACGATGAACAGTGAACTCAGGTAGTATTTGTAAAATCCTTTCCGGGCCTACAGAAATGTATATAGGGATTGACTGAAGTATTTATACGTTTTGAATCCTGTTTCATTTAACGACTTCTCTTTTAGACGTAACCTTGCTTAGTCACTTTCACAGGCCACTCGTCTTCCTGAGTTTTAAGCGATTTACTCGTAATAAGGTTATTATGACACACGCGTGTGGTTTCCTGCTGCCCATATTGGCATGGGTGTAAGCTGGATTAATTAATTGTAGACATGGTTTTCGATAATCAATGTTGTAGCCAATTACATACTTGGCCCTCCTTGACCCGGCTCGGCCTGGCCCGAGTTTTAGGACGTCCCCTTCTCGTTGTTTCGAGTATTTTTCTCGTTCCTTCAACTTTCTTTCAGAAACATGAAGTAACGAGTAAATACTCGAAATTTCAAGTTTTTGAAAGAAACTTAAAGTAACGAGAAATTAATCGAAGCAACGAAAAAATAATTGAAATAACGAGAAAATATTCGAAGGAACGAGTAAATATTTTTGAAATTTCAAGTTTTTGAGAGAAACTTGAAGCGACGAGAAAATATTCGAAGCAACGAGAAATTAATCGAAGCAACGAAAAAATAATTGAAGTAACGAGAAAATATTTGAAATTTCAAGTTTTTGATAGAAACTTGAAGTAACGAGAAATTAATCGAAGCAACGAAAAAATAATTGAAATAACGAGAAAATATTCGAAGCAACGAGTAAATATTTTTGAAATTTCAAGTTTTTGAGAGAAACTTGAAGCGACGAGAAAATATTCGAAGCAACGAGAAATTAATCGAAGCAACGAAAAAATAATTGAAGAAACGAGAAAATACTCAAAGCAACGAGTAAATACTCGACATTTCAAGTTTTTGACACTTCTAAATCATCTATTATGTGCTTATTAAATGAACAATAATCCTGTAGGTGTTTGGTCCTTGCTTTAAAATCTCCAGTGAGTATAACAAAGTCAGACTCTGACTCAAACTGACATAAACTATTTTCAATATCTTGGAACATATCTTGAGCTTTCAGGCGGAATGTATGCTACACCTATAAACAAGTCCTAGGGTAAATGAATCAGTTTACCAGATACTCTCAGCCACAACACAGTATCAGTATCATAATCAACAATGGACACATTGTCACTATATTCTTCTTTGACAGCCGCACCCATCCCACCGGATCTTCTAGCGAATGATTTTCTATTTTTCAGGTACGCTTTATAACCACTTATAGCAATGTCATCTAAAGAGTCAGTCTTAGTTTCCTGTAGTCCTACCATATCATATTTGCCTATAAAATCAACAAAATCAGGGTAATCCAGCCTGTTTCTCAGGCCACACACATTCAAGCTGACACATTTCAGGTCATCAGGTTGGATCACAACTCCAGTTCTACATCTTGGTGCAGGATTGTAGAAATTAGCTGTTGTTTGATGAGGGACGTGCTCAGTTCCACCGTCTTCCCCCTAGGTAAGTCTTGGTGTCGCGGCTTCTCTGGGGGATTGTCCTGGGGCAGGCCTGTATGGAGGAGGGGTGGGCACAGGGTACAGGGCGTTGTCCACGTATAATTTGTCCACGACAACATGAGCTTTCTTGTTGTTTTTCCTGGCTTCCCTCATAAGTGGGAATAAGACATCTCTCCTATATCTACTCACTTCATCAGGGAACTGGTCCACCATTCGGTATGGTTTACCCTGGAGTTCCCTGCCTGCCCTTTTCACTCTATCCCTTTCTGCAGTTATATTGAACTTAGCTATAATGGGCCTAGGTCTGGTAGAACCGCCACTAGCTTTCCCTCGGGGTCCTATTCTATGGACTCTATGGATAACTTTTTTAAGTGGCATTTAGAAGGTGGTGTGATGAACAACAAGGAGAGTTCTATGGATATACACCTTCTTTAATATGATATGAGCGACGTTTCGGTGTAGCTACTAACACCGTTATCAAGCAAATGATGTACAATACTAGATGCAAGGTATATTTATATACATGGTAAAGTTGAACAGTAAGTGATGATGTTTACACATTTAATGAGGTAGATGTACAAGGTGGTGGATGTTTACACAAGAGGCCAATAGTTACACAAACATATTAAGCTATAGGGGATTAAGGGAGGAAGCCAGTGATATGACAGACAGGAGAATAATAGGATTAAGATTGCTTGGTGATGAGTTGGTTGTAGGCAGTGGGGATGTAATATCCTTGGTCTCTGTTCATGGCCGGTTGTAGTCTCTTGATGTGAATGGCTTCTAGTAGCTTTCTGATCTTGTAGTGGGTGTGATTGCTGGTGAGTACTTTGATGCTGTTCCATAGGATGTTGTGGTCTGGGTGAGCTTGGGTGTGGTCAGAGATGGCGGATTTAGAGTCTTTCTTCTTCACAGAGGCTTGATGTTCTTTGATTCTTACAGAAAGGGGTCTTGAGGTTTCGCCGATGTACGAGTCTCCACAGTCACACTTTATGTGGTAAACTGTGCCTGAGGGGTCTTCTTTAGTTGTGGGGGTTGGTCTGCCATTGGCTTTTAGGAGGTTCTGTATGGTAGTACCTCTCTGGAACACAACATCAATGCTGGCTTGGTGTTTTAAGAGTCGGCTGATCTGGTGGCTGGCTGAACCTATATAGGGCAAGATTATGATGAACGGAGCTGTTTGATGGCGTGGGGGCTTGTTTGTCGGCTTGAGGGTGGCGTTGATGGTGCGGTCTACAAGGCTGGCAGGGTAGTCGTTGTAGGTCTTAAAGACATGGCGCAGATGTTGAAGTTCAGCTTCGAGTTGTTGTGATGTGGAGCTGATGTTTTCGGCACGTCGGGTTAGTGTAGCTATTATTCCTCTCTTGACTTGTGGGGGATGGTTAGATGAGTGGTGAAGGTACTGATCAGTATGGGTGGATTTACGGTATACACTGGTGTGGAGCTTGTTGTTGTCTTTCTCTATTCTGACATCGAGGAAAGCTAGCTGGTTGTCTGTTTCTTCCTCCATGGTAAACTTCATGCGAGGGTGCTGGGCATTGAGATGGCTGAGGAGGGTATTAGGGTCATCATCAGGGTTGAGGATGACAAATGTGTCATCTACTTTTCTAAACCAGCAGATAGGGGAGATTGGCGATGTCTGTAGGGCTCTCTCTTCTAGGTCTGTCATATATATATCTGTGATGTCACAGGGCTCTCTCTTCTAGGTCTGTCATATATATCTCTGTGATGTATCTGTTACAGATTTCAGTAGTGTGATCAACTCCATGGCGATGGAGAGGAGTCTGCCTGAAGGTGAAGCTCACCTACCTGTCATTCAGGAATGTATTCCCAGTGAGCATAAACATCTTAATATATCTGTGCACAAAAAGCCCTCTATTTAATATCATTAAAAAAAGAGATTTTCCAATAATACCTGTAGACATCCAAACTGTTTACATTCTTTGACATCTTTTAAGTTTGGAAGTCTAAATAGATCAACGGGCTCTGCATGCTTAGAGATTGAGGATATATTGTCAAAATGTGTACACTTCCTTAGATAAATAGGCAATGTCTGGTCTACAGTACTTGTAGATAGTATACCTGTCAATCATCAAAAAATAAATTCCAAATTTGTCATCTTTGTTCCAGATGCACCTTGCCTGTTGATGTCCTCATTGACAATCAGGGTATCCTGCACGTCCCCTCCACAACAACAACAACAACAACAACAAAATTGAGCAAGAAAAGAAAGTTACTAGAAGAAATGAATAACTACTGGTTGACTTTTTCAAACATATTTATAAGATCCTTAAGTCCTAATTGCGAGATATTAAGTCCTAATTAGGAGATATTAAGTCCAAATTAGGAGATACTAAGTCCTAATTAGGAGATAGTATCACCTAATTAGGAGATAGCTATGTCCTAATTAGGAGATATTAAGTCCTAATTAGGAGATAGTATCACCAAATTAGGAGATAAAAAAAATTCTGACTGTGGCACAAGGACGCTTCCGTAAAATGATAACAATACCATAGGCAATATCTTTGCAATGTTTATATATTTAAGAGGTGATTTTTTTTATTCCGCTTCGCAGTTCAACTTTTATATTTTGAAACAGCATTTGGATTGATCTCCCTTTACATAACATCCGGTAAGGATTCTTAACCGTGGTTTTGATAATTACTGGCTAAGAAAAAGAAAGATGTTTACCTGCAATCTTGTAAAACATGGACTTGCATGAGTCCGTGTCCACGGGCATCTTAATGTAGCGCTGTGCCAGGGGAACCAAAGCTCCGCAAAAGTCCCTAATTAAAACACAATTATCATTCTGTTCGACCGGTGGGTTTTGTTCCCTGATTCAGTGATTGCCGATACGTACCGTAGCATTTCCACATCGTCGGTGTATCGGTCAATGATAATTGTGTTTTAATTATGTTTGATTTTTTGGTTGCATGTGACCTTTAACACACGAGGGGGTAAATAGTCATGTTATTATAACCAATTATACAAGGACAAGAACGGTTGCTTTGTTTGTTTATGTCAGTTGGGTAAAACAGCAAAACAATAACACTGACGTGTGTTACACGTGCAAACGTAGATAGTCATAACGTAAATAAAAGCAATTGGTACAATGTAAACAAAACTTCTATTGATTGATGTTTGACAAAATCTAAACACATACATAATGTGAGTCTTAGTGCAACTAGACAAATAACCCACTTCGTAGTTGCCAATATAATTGTTTTATCAGCGATACCATCGGCAGTTTAATCCATTCACCGAGGAAGATGCTATATTAAAGATGAAGTACTAGCAATGAAATGTAGTTGATATTACATCTTCCATACATTTACGCGATATAGTAATTTCAGCCTGTGGTTTTATGACATACGTTCATCACTGATTATACGTGCAAATCAGCCTATGAAAACATAATGTGCCTCATTACATAAAGTGTTATATTACTATGAACATAGGCACAATATAGAAACATAAATAATGATAAATAAGTACATAGGTAAAAACCTAATCAATGGTGTTTTAATTGGCTACGTCCGTTTACAGTGTACAGCGAGGGTACTTATTCAACGAGGGTATGTTTTCAATACGTGACCTGGGTTATTTGTCAATGGCAGCCGGGTGATTATTCAATATTGACCCACTCGGAGCGTTAGCGCAGGTGCGACCCCGGGAACCAGGCTGATATATCACAACACAATTCAGCACTTCTATTTGACCAATCGTTACTTCAAAGAATGATTTTTATATGCTATCGGTAATTGTGAAGCATGGATATGACTCGCGCTTCTTCGGTACATGCCTTACTTCCGGGTTTGTGTTTTCAAGACGTATTACGAATCCTTTCCGCAGATCACGTGGCCACATGTTCTTATTGTTACGATAGCGTGGACTTAAAATACATTTCAGAGAAAACATCGACCACATGCGACATACAAATATCACCACATTATAATTCCAGTTTAAACAAGTGTGTTTCATGAGAAACTGTTTACAAGTTTGATTCTGTTGATTTTATTATAATAATTTGTTATGTCACACCCACTGTCTGTTAGTACCATTTGTACTGGGGTATTTCATCGCAACACTGTTACAATGTAACGGGTGGTCCGAACGTGTGACGTGCGGTTAGGTTGCCTTCGCGCGAAGTACGTGGTGGCTGCCGTCTCTTGAAGTGCCAAGCTTAGGGGTTGCGCCTATACTGTCCGATGACTGTGTATAGACCGATCCAGTCCCGGCCGATAAGCCCCGCCCACTTCGTTTTTGACGTTAGGGGGGACAACCACTGACTAATCACAATGGCGTCACCGCCGGCGAAACGTACGTGACTGCGAACGTTGTTGATGAATTCTCTTGTGGTATGATATTTAAAGAGGAAAGTTATACGTATTTTATTTTTAATAGATTTTAGTTGACAGATTGCAATTGGCGAGTGAAAATGAGTTACATTCCCGATGAAAAATCGTCTCGGCCAGCTGCTGCTCCTGCCCCGAAGCGTATTTTCTTTCGAACCAAATACTCTATCTGGCAATTCACGTCCGTCTAAATATAAGATATTAGCAAGGGAGGAGTAACTGAATTATGTTATTTGTTTGTTTTTCTCAAACATTCCCATCGTTATTTTAGAAAATTCTTGAACACAGCGCCACATGTTCAAGTTGCAGATTGTTTCGGTATCTATAAATGGGTGTCAACAGTGCGCGTGTATTCATTTATCCGTTGTTCAAATTTAGTTATATCAATAATGTGAAAACATGGGTTTCTACCTTTTAAAGAACAAAGCAGAAAATATTTCCCGTCTACTACTTCGTGCACCTTATTTGTCTGTATATATTAATGTAAACAAATCAATCACAGCATAACCTATACCGGTATTTGATCTTTTCGGGAATCTGGAAAGGTGATTGGGCTTGTAAACATTATGTTTCCATGGATGTATCTGACGTACCAAGACGCAAATATTCAGCAGCTAATCTGCAGCAATTCTCAGTAAAATTTCCCTCTTCAAAATCTGTACACCATCCTGGAATGACACTGAATATAAGGAAATCCTTTCCAATGTTTTTTCTATGTGTACTTTGTTGTAGAAACTTAATTTACAAACTTCCATAATACTGGACTTCATGAACTGCCAGCATAAAATTTATGTACAGGTACGTTACAGCACCAGAACACAAAGAAGATCCAGGATACAGTCTTTCACCTGTACACTGACCCATCTTCCAGAAATAGGAAACCTGTGATGCAAAATCTTTGAACAGAGGATCCACAGTTATCCAAACAATTAACTAGGATTGAAATAGAATGTTACACAAAATACAAATATACTGCCTTTTCTTCAGAGATATTTAACTGCTAACTACTAATGTAAATAAGGCACAAAGAATATATCCTATGTTCAAAGCTTTTTGTCAATAAAATTACATATTGACATTATTGTTTCTTAAACAATGATAATATTTGTTTTAATACATCTGAGACCATATCCCTAAGGGACATAACACTGATTTTGATCTATTTCCTTTTCTGGGATACTTAACAGTGTCAAAAAAATATATTAAAGTTGTTTCAAAATTTGATAAAAGTCATAAGAAATGTTTAGGAAAACAGACATGAAAATGTCCAGAAGCTTTCACCTCCTTCAAACCAGTGTGCAATTTAATATGAAGCTCATTTTCCAAATAACCATCAACAAACCTTGAACAATTTGTCCAAAATCAACATCTTAATAAACACTACTTTGGCTCAGTCTTCAAATATTGATAACCTCCTCAAAATCTGATGATTTCTAAGAAGTATTACATCAAATCTGGGTTAAATATATGTTTCAATAATCATTCCACTTACATGAATAGTCAACTGAGAATTTTGTAACTTATTCTGTTTCAAGACTGAATAATGCCTGATCAGGGTGTGACCAAAACGTAGGATGTTGAAATAACTTTATTACGAGTTATGATACTAGTAATCACTTTCAGAATAATTTTATTAGTAAATATATTATTAAAAAAAACCAAAGATATCTTAAAGCAAGAGTCAACAAGTTAGTTAGTACCAAGTGATTGTTCTGCCATGATATGTATATAGTGTTTAATTTGTTTGCCTAGTTCTGCCTTAAAATCACATGAATCTGATATGTCAGTCAATTAAGTAATTATTTATAATTGATTAGATTATTATTTATTTTATTACCTTTCCACGTTTACTAAAGGACGCAAGATTCTTAAAACATATCTGCTATCATGTCCAGTGAATTAATTAAATTGACAGTTCTGTTATTACTCCTAAAATGTACCAATATACCTCCCCTACATGTAAAAAAATTATGTTGTAACAAAAATTCAAAACAAATAATGTTCTCATGGTTAAGAAATATACTTTTATTTCACTCCGTTTAATATTCCAGAAAGTCACTATTCTTCTCACATAGTTTTCGTCTCCGATCCACACGGAGTAAGGTAATAATTCAATTCAAGGTCCCATCTCTTTAAAGAAATTCTAAAATATTTAAGGCATGGTTTTATAGACGCTCATTTGAATTAATTTTGATATTTGGATAGGCAACTGCTGACACTGACTATATTTCCGTTTGAATAAAAAAATATTACTCCTCGAATATTTTGCACTATTAACAGATATTGTCAGTAGGCCTTCAAATTGTGCTTGTGAAACTATAAAACATCCCAAAATGTGTGACAAATTTAAGAATATCTAAGAGCTAAGACAACAATATCCACCACATTGTCCTTTAATGTAACAAATTTTGCTATTTCGGTCGACCCTAACCGAAATCAGATCGCTGTCAGATTTGTTTACATTGTGTCACGGCTTTCTCGCCTGTCTCATTTCAGCTTTATGGCGTACCAACTCAATGCCCGTATTGACTAAAAACGTTAAGCAAAAACATTTTTGTAGTTACCAAAATTGTCCGTGTTTATAACACTTGCAAAGACTTAAACTGCTATTTGTTGTCATTCATTGGTAATGATTCTGCACGTGTGCGAAAGTGTGGAAATTCGTGCAAATTCTCACCTTCGAGCAGACGTAGGTTTCGTGAACGATATATGCCGACATTTAACAGATCGCGAGACCTATCGCACTACTTGATCCGCCTCAAATTTTTTATCTTGATCGTAATGGTTGTGTTAAAGGTACACATGAAATCGCAGCAATATGTAATAGATATAGCAAGTGTGAATGGCATAATTCGAAGCACATGGCTTTGGAGGCATCGTTTGACCCCGGAAATAAGTCTGACAAATCCACAAAGCGCGCCCGGCCTGCTGATTGGCCAAAACTGACGCATGCGTCAGTTTTGATTGACAGACTGGATCGGTCTATTGGGTTGCTTCCTTCTAAGCTCGCTGAGCGGTATCGTAGGAAGCAGCAGGCTAAATACGAATAACTCACTCACATGAACCCTTGACCACCTTTTTACGGTGGATGCCAAACTAAGGATTGATGTGCGAAGGCGGGTACTTTTTCAACGTTGAATTATTATCCGGACTCACTTTTCAACGCCAGGGGTCTTTCTTCAACATTGAATAATCACCCTGCTGCCATGGAAAATTAACCCGGGTCACGTATTGAAAACATACCCTCGTTGAAAAAGTACCCTCGCTGTTTTTACACTGTAAACGGACGTATCCAATTAAAACACCGTTGATTAGGTTTTTACCCATGTACTTATTTATCTATATTTCTAGCAATATAACTTAAAAATAGATTCATGTTTGTGTTGTTATTATGGTCTCTTGTAATCCCCTGTGGAATGGCTTGTGTACACATATTATTGGTTTTATCAAAATGTTTCTTCAAAATGTTGTACATACGGTGAGACCGAAATACATCATTGTTTGAATGACTGTGTGCCTGTCTTTGATGTTTGGGGTTAGACGTAGCCGATCCAAACGGGCACATCCAAATGTTTGATATCGTGATATTGTGCCGATGCACGTGCGTATATAAAAAAAAATGATATACGTTTTGCCTGTCTTTGATGTTTGAATTTACACGTCGCCGATCCACGGGGACATCCAAATCTTTGGAGTAGGGGTTGGCTTAGACTAACGCTTAGTCTCTGAATATATTATTTTGAATCTAACAAACACACCCATTTAAATTGAAAAGGAGCCCCATGGAGACCGGAGATTCAGACACTGAGAACATCTGCATTGGGGCTACACGTGCTTAGGGCATCACCAATTAGAAATGACATCGTACAACCATCAGAAAACAGTATAAGTTACAGGCATATATATTGGCCCTTCTCCTATCTCCATGTTGACATAACCTCATGTGGGCCAGTCAAGCACCAGACTTCCTATAACAGTTTACAGTTTGGAAACTTGCAGCCCACAGTCACTTGGAGACTATATGGCCAAGGATCTATCTGGAACAACAACAAAATTATGAAGGAGTTTGAACTTGTCTCCAAATTCAAAAATTTCCTTTTGTTTAATATGTGAATTTGTATAATATGTGAAGAGGATATTGATAAACTCCTTTCTTGCAATTTAAATTTTATTTCTGAATCCTGTTACGGTCAAAACTAAGCAGCCAGGGAACAGCTCAGTCTGAATATATACAGTAGTCTAATTGGATACAGGTGTATTTTGTACGAAACAAACACAAGCTTATTTTTAATTATCAAACATATTAATTAAGAATATAATTAATTCAGTTCAATGGAAGTGAAAACACCAGCATCTGTCTTATGATTGAAGATGTTCTCGGTATTTCTAGAAACTAGATCAACCTCACCAGATTTCACATTGCATGCCTTAATCAAAATTTCGAAGGTAAACATATACTGAGTCAAAAAAGAAACTTCACATTCTTTCTTCAGGGCACTATAAAAGAACAAGAGATGGTAAGATGGGTAAATTGTTATTATTTCATTGCTGAGATCTGTGTGATGTACTCGATACACTGACAGTGCCATAATCAGTTTCAATAGGCTACACCGCCGTTCCAAAACATGGGTATACAGAATGTCAAGTCACCAGAATAAAAATGCGAAATTTCTCAGTTCAATATCGTGTATGGCGGTCCCGCGCATTCACCACTGCCAAACACCGTCTCCTCATCGACTGCCTGATACTTGTGAACACGTGGTTGGGGATTCTGCGCCATTGCTCCTGCAAGGCAGCGCCAAGTTCCTGCAATTTCTGAGGTTGGTTCCTAAGACCACGAAGCTTTCTCCCAAGTGCATCCCAAACGTGCTCTATTGGATTAAGGTCAGGGGACCTCGATGGCCAGTCCATGACGTTGATTCCAGCGTTTTGAAGGAAATTTCGTGTCAACATCGCGGTATGCGGCCGAGCGTTATCATGCTGGAACTGTAGACCTGGGCCATGAGCCGCCATAAAAGGAACGAGTTCAGGGGTGAGCATCTGGTCGCGGTAAGCAGCAGCTGTGAGGTTTCCACGGATGACCAAAGCCGGAAACGGTTGTTCCCACAGAAAGCAACCAACACCATGCAACTTCCGCCCCCGAATCTGTCGACTTCCTGTACACAACATTAGGCATACCGTTCACGACGTCGTCTCCAGACTCTTTGCCTGCCGTCCGCGAAATGGAGGGTAAACCTGGATTCATCGCTAAAGACGACTCGATTACAGTCTCTCTGGGTCCATCGGAGGTGACGTTGACGTTGATGAAACGGCGTCAATACTGGCCCACGATATGGATGTCGAGAATGGAGATTGGCAGCCCGCAACCGATTTCGAATGGTCTGTGAGGACAGTCGACCCCTAAACATCTCAGCCCTGGTTCGTATAGCCGGCAGAAATCTGTCACGTAGGTGACGTAAGACGATTTGACGGTCTTCTGCTCGTGACGTCACACGTGGACGACCCGACCTTGGGCGATCAGAAGTGGTGCCAGTTTGTTGTAAACGACCTCGCAAGTCATACACAGTGCAACGGCTGCATCCCATTGCTCTCGCGACGTCAATAACTGATCTTCCCGCTTGCAACATGCCAACGGCACGTTCACGTTGCACATTTGACAATCGTGGCATTTCAAGTACCGTTAGAACTGGTTTAAAAGGGTTTTTTTTCAATTCTTGGGGCCAATGCAAACACGTGCATATGAAGAAAACTTCGACTCGAAGATCACGTGATCGACTGCACGTGCGAAACCTGATTTGGCACTAAAGTCATTTGCACGACGAATGGATGGGTAAGAGTGGGGTTTGCTAATGTTTGTCTATAGTCGAAAGATAGGGATCCCATTTCCGATACATAGCTGTATCATCAGAGAAAAATTATTCTTTTTTTTCAAATTACATTTTGTGAAGTTTCTTTTTTGACTCAGTATATTTAATTCCGAGATGCTGTGCCTTTTCAATTTCGTTCTTCATGAGTAGGCTACTAACGTGGTCGGGTAGTCAGGCTTGCTGACTGGGTTGATACGTCATCGTACCCCAATTGCGTAGATCCATGCTCAAACTGTCTGGTCCAGACTCGATTATTTACAGACCGCCGTCATATAGCTGGAATATTGCTGAGTGCGGCGTAAAACCAAACTCACTCACTCACTCTTCTAGAGTGCTAGGAGATGGTATACAACAATTACAGTTGCTTTGTTTGTTTTGTTAAGTTCTTTATATACAAATGGGGTAATTTCAAAAGTCAAAGATTTTGTTGGTTTGGGCGTTGATCAAGCCAATCCTCAGTCTACTGGGTAGGTGGGACTAACCCATTTCACATTTCTGTGTAAGTTTTATAACACGCCCTTTAAGAGAACTTTACAAATTCAGTATGGTGTGTGTGTCTACCATTGGCGTTGCTGCTGGCTTGATTTTACGTGAAAGAAGGATCCGCTTTTGTGTGGTAGATGTGTAGTTTGCTATATAATAAGCGTCAATCTGGCATTGAGAGAACAGAATGCGTTTTACGCCTTGAACAGTCTTCATTTGAATCACGACACATCTCAGCGTCGTAGCCAGGCACAAATAACTTGGCTTGGTTGTTGTATAACGCCACACTAGGCAATATCCCAGCTATATGGCATTCTGTGTGTAAATGATCAAGTCTGGACCAGGCAATCCATGAGTGACCAACAGCATGAGCATCGACCTACGCAGTTGAGATACAATGACGTGTTAACCATATCAGCCTGGGTGAAGATCCAGGTTAGGATTGCTAGATTGCTTGATGTTGTTAATGCATATATATCAACAGGTGCTATGTGCTCTAAAGCAAAATGGAATTATATTGTTAAATCCAAAATCTCTGATTCTTTGATAGTTTATTGTGCCATCAGAAAGCAGTGAGAGAGGAACTCTCTAGATATTGACTTATTCGAGAGCCGTTTAACCAAGCAGACTGTGGGAACTAGCTTTGATTGATAAGCATAAGCATATTACAAAATCTCTCATATTATTCACGTTGGCTATAAAAAGATTGAATCCAGAGAATGCATATGTGGAATAGTAGCTTCTGACATTGTCAAATATCTTATTATGTCTTGGAAAGTTCTCAATGATCTGAGAAATGAAATGTTTGAAAGGATATGTGATTTTTCTGATTTTGTTGAATTCTGGGGAAATGATGACGATGTCATAATTGCTGATTTGCTTGGTGGATCTTGTACAACATTTAGCATTTTAAATATGACAGAATAGGAGAAAGTTATATTACTAGTGTCTGATTTTATGACTGTCTGTCGCTCTAAATTATTCTCAAATTAATTGTGGACTAATTCAATGTATATTCAACTTGTGATATTGTTGTAATATGTAATAATCTTTATATTTTTGAAGGAAATAAAAAAGATCCATCTATCACATGAATATTTCTCGACCAACAGCTGAGTATTCTCCATTATGTGAAATTCTCATTCTTAATCTCATTAATTACTGTTATTCATATAATGGCATATATGACCATGATCGATTATGCCCTGGGCTGCGTCGGTAATCACGCCCATCACGCGAGCAGGATGTCCTCCTCGGCACTACTCGGTGCTCGCGTCATGTCCGAGCCGGGGATTCCACTCAGCGTTGTCTGATCGGATAATTCTGTTGGTTGTGTATATATTTTATTTATGTTTACATGTTGAGTATTAAACGTTCGGGAACAGTGATGTATATGTTGTCTTTTTTTCTCAAAAGGGCTGATTGTCCTGTAAATTGTCAGCCGTCCACGTGCAAGAGTAAGTGAGTGAGCGAGTGAGAATAGTTTTACGCCGCACTCAGCTATGTTCCAACTAGATGCGGTGTGTAAATAATCGAGTCTGGACCAGACAATCCAGTGATCAACAGCATGAACATCGATCTACGCAGTCGGGATGCGATGACATGTGTGAACCAAGCCAGCGAGCCTGACCACCCGATCCCGTTATAGTCGCCGCTTACGACAAGCATGGGTTGCTGAAGATCAAGTCTAATGCGGATCTTCACGGGTCCCACGTGCAAGAAATATCAGAATGAATAAGAGACTACGTCGGTTTACCTTCCAGTGATAACAAAATCGATGATGGGGTGAGACAAGGACCACGGACTGCATGGAGACAACGGAAGTCAGTGATATGTGAATCAGATCAGACAATCGAATGACTGACATCATGAACATCGAACACGTGACACTAGTTATGTTTTTCGGAGATTCAATACCTGCAACTGATTTCACTTAAGGAATGCCTGGAAAGACTTGATCCTTTATACCAGAAACTGTGTTAGCGAGCTTTCTACCATTTAAGGAAGCATACGAATGACTGTGGTTTTACGCCGCTTTTTTCGCAATGTTACGGCAAGGGATACCAAACATGGGCATTGAACATTGTACTCGTGTGGGGAAACGAACCGGTGTCTTTGGGTCATCGACGTGACAAACGAACGCTTTCAGAAACCACCGCCCTGATCCTTAAGTTTACTTTGGTGAATGAGTGAATTTAACGTTACGCCGCTTTTAGCAGTATTCCAGCAACATCACTGCTGGGTAACGCCAGAAAATGGCTTCACACATTGTACACATCATGTGGGGAATCCAACCCGGGACTTCAGAGTGACGGGCGAACGCTTTAACCCCTTGGCTACCCCATCGCCCAACACTAGGATGACGTCACTATAGCTTTATAGAGTCATCTTTATATCCAGACTTCTATATGATCATAAAAAAACAATACTAGACGTGAAGCTTCAAGCATATATCGCATGCACACACGGGGGTGAAAAGCCATACATTTCAAATTAAATTCGCCAAGGTTTTTTTTTTTTTTTTTGTTGTTGCTTTGCCTCACACGCCATGATATTCCAGTAGTGATGGCGGTCTGTAAATAACCAGGTCTGGACCACAAAAATCCAGTGATTGATCAGGATCGATCCACGCAACAAAAATACGATTACATGTATCAACAAAGTCAGTGAGCCATATGGTGTGCGGAACAAATGTCCACGTTAAAACAGTACCGGAAAAAAGTCCTAAATTTGCCTTGGAAAAAATGTCCTCTGATCACATCTTTAGTCAAGCATGGGATGCTGAAAGACCTGGGTGCCGTCAGTCGTAAAAGCAACCTTAGCGCGACGAGTATCGTAATTCAAAGTTAGAGTTGAAAATGCTTTAAACAACGTCAACCAGTTCTAATTCGGATTATGGTTTGGCTGTTATCATAATCAATAGTATGAGAATATAACTCACAGCAGGAGTATAATGACGGCGATAATGACAGAGGTGTTGCAATGTAATCCAGAGCGCCTTGTAGCCAATCAGGGAGGTTTCCCACACGTGAGGCAATGACGTCAAGAACATGCCGCACCAGCTGAAACGGACCGCAGTCATTTGAAATCTGAAAAGTGAGTGAGTGAGGTTTTTGGTTTGACGCCGCCTTGAACAGTTTTCAAATAATTTCACGGTGTGTGTGCTTTGTGTGAAAGGGAAGCCCCGAAGTTGGCAGGTCTAAGACGTTTACCGCTTTTAGAAACCAAGAGGTCGCGCAACTTGTGGCGAACTGGATTTGAAGTGCATACACAATTCCCCGCAACATTTTTTACGTATCATTAAGTTCAAACGTTGAGTTCTTACATTATGTGAAAATTCATGCACGCGTGTTATCTCTATTATGCGTGGCAAAAGTTGACAATAACTTCGGATCCGCGTTAACGTGGGCTTCGTTCAATATGGTTGTCTTTCAATGCCACAGATCAGGTTAATTTCGGATTTCCAGTGATATTCGAAATTTCCGAAATATTGAGCAAGCGTTCCCAACACCAATAGCTCGGATCCGAAGGTAAAGGTTTTGACATCCTGAAAGAAGCTGGATCCGATTGATGTTGAATCCGCGCCTGTCTGACCGATGGATCCGATCTTAAGGGCAGTTGTGTTGCCCATTTCAGAAGTTCAAGGTTCAGAGAACGTGGTTTAAAGCAAAATGCTAATACACGGCCTGTGATTTTTTGGTGAGGAAAAAAAAATGCTATGACGTCATCTATTTTGAAAATATGTATTCGCGCTTACTCTGGTAATATTCACACTTCAAACATTGTGACTTGAAATATTTCTCTATACTTGGTGTCCAACTAGTCCACCACGTGAAAAAGCCATCATATATATCTGCTTGCACTTACCATTTCGCCAAGCGATGGTTGCAAATGTAGAGGTAGTATGTCATGTTTGCAATTATTCAAATTATTATGGATAAAGGTATGTATTTCTAATTCAACTGGTGAGTTGTGTTTGCATCTGTCTAATTCAATGTCCTCCGCTTCTGAACAGAATATCGAGTCGATCCAATCTATTTCTGAACACCAGAAAATGCACAATGTATATTTGCAGGTACATTATGTTTTCGTTTTCATCCAGCATAAACCTTTCCCAGTCATCTCAGACGAAATTTCCCACTGTTTGAATCCCTTCAGGTGAGCCAGTAGCCAGTAATCATGGGTTCGAATCCTGATTTGCCCCTAAATGTGATTCAAGGTTTGAATGTGTTCCAAGTCGGTGAGGCTTTTGGCTGATAATCCTAGAGCTTAAAAGTATATTACATGATCCCTAAAGTACTCAATGACTTCAAAGGACACAAAGTCATTAAATGGTAGGTCCATAAATGTTGTCTTAAGGCATTCAGCTCGTCACACTGAAGACCGGGTTTGATTCCCCAAATGGGTACAATGTGTGAAGCCCATTTCTGGTGTCCCCCGCCCGATATTGCTGGAATATTGCTAAATACTCACTCACTCAAGAACACTAAATGGTAAGTTTCTAAACGTACTCTATAAGGTATCCCAGGGGGAAAAGAGATAAGTAGAGGTTGAAAAGTAGAATAAACATGTTGAGACTCGGAACATCTTTCTTGGCACCACACACCACATGTGGGCAATGACATATTGGAAGTAGTTCTAAGAGGGTAAGAAGTGCCAGGAATGGACAGAAGTGGACCCCAGCCAGACCAGAGCTTGACCATAGGTCAGATCTAACACACCAGAATCTACGTCCATCTCACGATACTGTATAACATAAAGGCAGTGTCCAACTGTTGAGCAGATGTGGTTGAAAGGGTGGCTTCTTGCTGTACAAAAATGTGGTTGAAAGCAAGTAAAGGAAGTAAACAGCATGTCATAACAATTTACAAATAATATCCAGTCCTGTCTATCTTCGAGTGGTCATGCAACCTATTTATTTCGAGACATTTAATACGATGGCTTATTTATGCTTTCCTCTGGGTATCATACTCTTTTACAGATCTCAACCTGTGGCGCAAAAAGGTTTGTGCAGTGATGTAAAGCTGGAGAAGTTGGTTTCAATGGTGAAGTTGGTTTCAGTGGTGTAGAGCTGGTGAAGTTGGTTTCGATGCTGGCTTGGCTCTTCAGGAAACAGGTGTGGTGATAGGTCTATCCTTTACACTTGGGTGAACGCATTGACAAAAGCTCATCTTACAAGCAGACCCTGGCAGCCAAGTGAAGCAGCTCTGTACAAGTGTCTCCATATCTCAAATAACACATAAAAAATTCAACATTCATGAGATTTATTTTCAGGTGATACAATTCACACACTCTCAGTTTCACGATCTGTTCACATCTGCATCACTTGAAGCATTTTGCAGCATATTCACGTATGATCCAAACTTCAGTTTCTTGCAATCAGTCACACACAGCCAGACAATACAATACAGAAATGGAATGGATCAACAAAGGATTTGAAGTCACTCACTAAAGGGGTTCAGTAGGAAACACAATGCATTAGGTTCTAGCGCATCAGCATTCTGAAAACCCTGGATCATATTGTCAAAGAAAGTATGTTTACCGTTCTTCATCTATCCATTAGTAACTTCAGCACTGCATTTCATTAGAAATGCCAGTTCCATTGGTTCAAGTTACTGTAAATGTTTAGGGAGAGGGAGTCATGGAAAAAGAATACATCATATGAGGGGAGAGGGGGCAGGGGGAGAGTGAGTGAGTGAGTTTGGTTTTACGTCGCTTTTAGCAATATTCCAGCAACACAACGGCTAGGGACACCAGACATGGGATTCACACATTGTACCCAAGTGGGGAATCAAACCCGGGTCTTTGTCTAAGCGAACGCTTTAACCACTAGCCTACCACACTGCCCCCAGGTGGTGAAAAAATCATGCACGGTTGACCTAATATTTTTTTATGGCTTTCAACCTTAATGTTCGTTATGTTAATTTCTTTCATAAAATGACATTTAACTCTAAATTGTTCTGAAACTATTCTTTCTTATGAAACAAAGGAAATATACCAGTGCGGCAGTTTGGTAAAATGAAAACAAAAGTACAGCGATCTTCCTGCATGATCTTGTTTGTATTGAAGATCATTACTACCATCACTACACTTGGTAATGGTAGGGTCGGTGTCAGACAAAACAGATTATATAAGACAAATGAATATTCCAAATAAGGCTAGATCACTCATTCTTAAATTCCCAATATGTACAGCTTCTAAACGCAAACTCAAAATGACCCAAGGTGAACATGTGGTTAAAGAAATACAAAAATTAATGATAATTGTTGCAATGAAATCTGATTATGGCATTCATCTAGAAACACAGACAGCATTATACATGGATTATCATTAAGTTCACAGATTGATGCATGGTCACAAACAATGCATCGCTTTCAACACCCTTATAAATATCTTACAATCTACGAAATTAAATGTATGAAAAAGTATCAAAACCTGAAGAAATAATACATCAGTTACACTAAGTTATCTTTATATATAGCAACACAAACATATTTCTGAAAGTTATTTAATATAAACATTAGCGCTGAGTTTTGAATCCAAAAGGTCTATTTCTGATAATTCAAGTACAGGAAATGAAAAAAGCAAAGGAAAAATGACACTGAAATGATATTAACATGCAGTCTAATGACAACTTGTATTTCTTCTTATTTCTATCACACAATCAAATATGATGAAGTACAAAAGAAAGAAAATGATGATGTTTCTAACTTCTTGATTAATCAACATCAAAGTGTAAGTCTGTGACCCAAGAAAACGTTTTATCATGCTTGTACTGTTCTTACCGATATCTACTCAAGTAAATACCTTACATTTTAGTTTGGTAGATTTTGATCCACATCCACATGCTGGATTAAGACCCACATCCAGGATGGGAATAAGACCCACCTCCAGATCCTGGAGTAAGACCTACATCCACATCCTGGAGTAAGACCTACATCCACATCCTGGAGTAAGACCTACATCCACATCCTGGAGTAAGACCTACATCCACATCCTGGATTGACCCACATTCAGATCCTGGAATAACTTCACATCCACATCCTGGATTAAGACCTACATCTACATTTTGGAGTAAGACTTATATCCACATTCTGGATTAAGAAGGACATATGAAACACTTGGACAAAGTAATCTTGAGGGTGGAACCAGCCATAACAAAAAGAGTTATGGCTGATTTAAATTTTGAAAATTGGCCACTGACTTTTACTTATTAATTTTTCTTAGATTTTCCCCCATGGTATCTACCTTTCACTTTACAAAGATTACACTAAAACTTATATGAAATCACCCTCCTAAAAGTGATCTTCACTATACTGGCCTATTAGAAATATAGGGGCTTTTTTTAATGTAACGATAGTCTAAATGTCAGAAAAACTTATAAATGCTACAAAATGTGATTGAGCACATCATTATGACATACGATTCTGAATAAATAAACAAAATTATTCTAAAACAGTTGTCTGCATCACTTCCAGGCTCTGTTTAAAGCTTTTCTTGACGCCAGTTTCTGTGATATAACGGACACGGCAATCATTATCAGCAACACGGTACCGATGAAAAGATAATCAAAATCTTCTTTCAGAACATCGAACATCTTGGATGGATTTACACGTGTGTAAAAAAAGATCTGAAACAGAATAAGTTCTCATTAAGAAGTTGACATCTATATATTGACCCATTTCCATGTCCTCATACAATTCTTGCATTTTTGTTGGTTCGTTTACTGTTTAACGCTGCACTCAGTAATATTCTAACTGTACATAGTAATCAAGTCTGGACCAGACAATTCATAATAATAACAATGGCCATTTGTTATGCGCTACAATCCACACACTAGTGCATGCTCAAAACACAGGGGAAAGAGGGAGAGAGTCAGTTATATACAGAGGAGAAAAGATAAGTCTTCAGTTGTGATTTGAAGCTGTCAGAGAGTAAAGAGTCTTTGATGTGGACTGGCAGTGAATTCCATAGTCTTGGGGTGCGGTGGGGTAGCCTTTTCGTCAAAGCGTCTGCTCCTCACGTCGAAGGCCCGGGTTCGATTCCCCACATGGGTACAATGTGTGGAGCCCATTTCTGGTGTCCCCTGCCATGATATTGCTGGAATATTGCTAAAAACGGCGTAAAACCATACTCAGTCAGTCAGCCATAGTGTTGGGGCTGCATGAAAGAACGACCGTTTACCAAATGAGAAAAGTCTGCAAAGTTGGTACAGTAAGTAGGAGCTGGTTCTGAGATCAAAGAGTTCTGGCTGGTGTGTATACAGTGATCAATTCAATGATCAACAGCATGAGTCCTGATCTACACAATTGGGATATGATGACATATGTCAACCAAGTCAGCAAGCCCGACAACCTGATCCCGTTAGTCACCTCTTATGAAAACCATGGTTTGTTGAACATGTGACATGCAGGGTATTACCTACCGAGACCATAGGCTAGGACAAGCGATGTAGACTCCAGTCCTGCTGGTGTGGTGTGAATTCCCCTGATTTTCACCACACTCTGGTTGTAGTTGAGGGTGGCCTCTGTGAACACCTGGATCTCGGGAATGTAAGGAATAGTGCCCTCTTCCCTGAAATACAAATGTCACTCAACATTAGGAAAATGATTAAAATATTTATTTTTTGAAGTCAGATATATTACATCTCCTTCCATCTGTAATCTGTTGGCTGCAGGATACAATAATCTGAGACTCACATAGTTTCTTGTGATGGGATGATGGGTCGTCTTGGATCCAGCAAGGCCTTTGGAATTGAAAGAAGTCCTCCATTCCTGAGAGCAACTGAAACAACAATATATGCATGGATTAAACATGTTGTGTTGTCCAGACCTGATGTCCACTTAACAGCCTACCTGACATAACTGTTTTTAAAATTTTGAATATTATAACACGTTGAAAATCGCACAATGGATTTTCACTCTTGAGTAGCAAAATGGCTGGAGGCTTGAATGAGGATTCAAACTCTGACTATCTGATTCAAATACAGTCAAATCCCGATGAGTCGAATCGCTGGGGACCAAGTAATAAATTCGACTTATCCATGTATTCGAGACATAGGTATGTCTATGAGGGTGGAGAAAAGGATGATCCAGTCCTAATTGCTCCGCCTAAGCATTTGTTTATCTAATGATTTCCATATCACTAATAGGGGCACCTTATCAGTTCCAGTCTGATTAGCACAGACAGTGATTTCCGTAAAATCACTAATCTGCCTTTTGAACTCACCCTTCAATGGCGGAAAGGTGTGAGCCGCACTAGTTTGTTAATTGGATCAGTTTGCTGCACCAATCAACTTCTCATTGACTGACTTCGGCTTATGTATACAAGATTGCTGATGGGACCACCTTTTCTTCTCGAGTCATCGTGTGTATTTATGAGTCGAATTCGTGTAACCGGAAATCAAATGATGACAACTATAACAGGGAATGGTCGGGACCGACAGGTACTTCGAGTTATGCATAATATTCGAGACACCGGCATTCGACTCATCGGGATTTGACTGTATGTGACATTTTTGCTATGTTGCATGCCGTCAAGCCTCACTACCACATACAATTTCTTTATTTTCCATTAATTTGATGGAAAATATTTCCTGAATTTCCTAGTGTCACTATTTATTTAAAGATCTATCAACTGAGTAAAATGGATTAGCACAATGTTAAACAGTATTTCAGTTGTATCATGGCAAACCAGCTTGATGTGGGGGCAAGCCCTGACACAGTATGGTGACATTTATCACCTACAAGCACAGGTGTGATGAGTGAGTGATTGAGTGAGTGAGTTTAGTTACACGCTGCACTCAGCAATATTCCTGCTATATGACAGCAGTCTGTAAATAATCAAGTCTGGACCACACAATCCAGTGATCAACAGCATGAGCATCGATCCATGCAATTGGGATACGATGACATGTGTACCCATGTCAGGACTCGAACCCGTGTCTTCAGTGTGACAAACGGACACCAGAGATTTTCCTTGAGTCCTGTATTTGAGGGTCCCTGGGACTCATACTCTTAATTTTCTGGGGTCCTGGACTACAAAATGGGGTCCCAGACACTTATGTAATTTTCTGACTAAAATTGATATTTTATTTTATACTTATCCTGACTCATGCTAATTATGCTTGCAAATGATAGTGCAACACAAATCCCTTGAAGTTCCCTTTAAAAAAGCGGACGTAAAATCACTCACCCAGCTTAGCGTCCCTTCTTCCCATTAGCGCCCTTTTGGTCACCTGACCGACCATGCCTTGTCACTCTCGTCATATGAATGCCCGACACCCGGATTTACAGGGAAATCCAGAGTGCCATAAGAGGGAAGGTTGGGAAAGCTAACCTCATGAGTCAGGATAAGTATAAAATATCAATTTTAGTCAGAAAATTACATATTTTTCCTTATCCTGACTCATGCTAATTATGCTTGCAGAATCCGTAGGAAACGGTGGTGGGTCAGGCCACGTTCTGGATTCACTAGTTGTAGATTTACATCCTGTATTACCCCCCATGGGTGCTTATCACGGCACTGTTGAAGATTCTGTTATTCAACTTCTCTCTGATGTGCCTGGGGGGAACCACAACTTGTCAGATTTCTTCCGAAACTTCTGACATTTTCATGTTGATATAGATGTACTAATACAAGTGGAGATGCGACCCTTCTTCATGTACCAGTATGTCCTATACAAGTACAGGGTCTATCACTCATGCTAGTCTGTTCTAGACGTGTGCATGGACTTATAGCCATTGCTCTCCAGAGCGTTGGTTTTCACAAGTCACATGATAAAAGGGGTGAGATTTACTCAACGCCTTTGTGGAACCATTAGTTGTTGTGTTACAACAAGTGGCCCAAACTGGTGAATGCCTGAGACATCTTCTGTGGCAATGTCTCTGAGGTAGTGGTTTGCAAACACCGTGTTCGATCTCCAAAAGCAGCCCTCCATTATAGTTGTAATCAAGCAGTTTCCATGCAGAGCAAGTGTTGACAGCAGGGCTCTGACTTCCTGTGGGTTGGAGGCTAGTGGAGGCTCAATTCCTGCTGCTTATTAGGCCCTTAGTATAATGGCTCTCATCCAGATCGATATCATTGTCCGTGAGACTTCCGTTGGCGTCTCAGTGGATAAGGGGATGAATAGGTGCTTGAATTTTCGTCTCCTTGTTTTAGTTGTCTGTAGGTAGACTTTAAGTGCTCTGACTGGGCATAAGGATAGATCCTGCGTATCCTGTGACCCAAGGACTGTAGATAGTGCTGGGATGTGGAACTGTCTGTCAGGCTGACCAGGCAGTTGGTTCTTGGCGATAAAATCACATCTCAGTCCAAGATGTAAGATGTCACGGTGTCTTGTTTCAAATCGCGTCGTTCAAAATCCAGAGCATGTATTTCTGACATCCGTGCAGCTGTTGCTTGGGCGATCAGGAACAGCGTTTTCTGAGTTAGTAGCTCAAAGGATGTCCGTTCTAGAGGCTCGTAGGCATCACTGGTGAGATGTTGTAGAACTATGTTGAGATCCCAGGCAGGAACCTTAAATTTCTTTTGTTGGTTTTCCAACTTGAATGAGCGTAGTAGTGCCAGAATCTCTGGTACTTTGGTCAGCTTGATACCCATTTTCATGGTGATAACTGTAATGAGACCGGCCGCCAAGTAAGTTGAGAGTGTTGAACCTTTTAAGTGTCTCGTCTGTCGAAGATGACATAAGTATTCCGCCACTTGAAGATGTGTTGCTTTCACCACTGTAAAGACTTTCCTCTTTGCATACTGTTCAAATTTCTGCCACTTGTCGTCGTACAAGTTGCGAGTTGATCTGCGTAGAGCTAGTGTAACTGCTTTAGTTACTCTGGCGGAGTACCCTCTGGTCTTCAGGCAAGCTTTAATACGCTCCAAGAGTGTAGCTTGAACAGTGTCGGGTTCCCTTGAGCTTGCTTGGTGTGTGGATGGACGAGTAGTTCTTGTATGAAGATGGGAAACCATACCCTGGATGGCCTATAGGGCGCGACCAAAATCAGTTGCAACGTAGTTGTCTGCTTGATTTTCTGTAGTACTTGTGGTAGCAGTGCAGGAGGTGGAAACGCGTAAGCGTTTAGTCCTTCCCATGAGATGCTTAGAGCATCTGTTGCCCATGCCTGAGGATCTGGAGTCGGTGAGACGAATGTTGGTAGCTGTTTGTTGAACTTTGTTGCAAACAGGTCTATTAGTGGGGATCCTATAGCCTGTATGATGAACTGGAATGCTTCTGGATGCAACATCCATTCCGTCGGGGATGGTTGTAGTGGACGAGATAGGGCGTTCTTTAGTACACTGGACCAATGTTGTAAAGCGTTGATTACTGCTTTCATCTCCAACAGATTGATATGTGACTTCTGATCATGACTCGACCACTTCCCTGCTGCCACTTCGTTGTTGAAGTGCGCACCCCATCCTTGTAGGGAGGCATCCATGTAGAGATGCCTGTTGCAAACCGGCTCTGACAAAAAGGTCCCTCCGAGTCCACCATAGGAGATATGGTTTCAGGCTGTCCGGTAGAATTAACGGATCTAGGCTGTCTAGGTGGGCGTTCACACATACTTGTAGTGGGCGCAACTGTAATCTCCCTCTGCAAGTGATGTCTTGAGCTGAGGTGAGTAGACCGAGCATGCTTTGCCAAGCACGTAGTGTCAACGGAGAGCGCAATGCTTGAGATATCATTTGTTGTATTTTGACCCAACGATCCTCTGGAACGACTATCAATTCACTGGTGTGATGAGTCGAATTCCTAGGAATTGCAGATCTTGTTTCGGCTCCAGATTCACTAGCCATCCTACTTGAGTGAGCGATGTGATGAACCGTATTCCTAGGAATTGAAGATCCTGTGTGGGTTCTAGTTCTGACTTGAGGAGATTTACTAGCCATCCTAGTTGAGTGAGTAGCCTGATGGTGAAGTCTAGTTGCAGTCTGAGTTGACTGGGATCTTGATGAGCTTGAATCCCGTCATCCAGGTAGAAAGCACTGCATAGACCTCGACGATGTAGATACGTGACGATGGGCTTGGTCACTCGAGTAAACAACCAGGGGGCCGACGATATTCCAAACAGTAGCACCTTCCACTGGAAGTGCTGTCCGTTGAACAGGAAACGTAGGTATTTCCTTGAGTCTGGATGTATCTGGATGTGGAGGTACGCATCTTACAGATCTATGCCGGCGAGGTAGTCTTGTGGACGAACGAGATGTCGGAGCTGAGGAAGATGTATCATCTTGAATTTTGCTGGTCTGCGTAGATACTCCCAATTGAACTTTCTCATGTTGTAGATGAGCCGAAATTTCTCCTTGGAATTCTTCTTTGGTACCAGGAAAATTGCGGAGTAGATCCCGGCCGTGATGAGATCTTGATCTATCTCTTCTACTGCCTCTTTGTTGAGTAGGGTCTTGATAGCAACGTCCAGTCTTCCTATCTGGTCGGCTGCATAGTTGAAGGCCATCGGGTTGCTTGTGAAGCGGCGGAGTGGCTTCCAACTGTATCTTGTACCCTTTGCGCAGTATCTGGGATACGTAGTCGTCCTGTAGTATCCCCCAATTCTCCCAGTACCATTGAAGACGTCCACCCACTGTTGAAGGTTGTACGGGAACGGCTGGGGGTGGAAGACTCCAGTCGTTCCGAACCTGGCCTTCAATGCTTGCTTCCTTTTGCACCCCTGGGTGCTCGGCCTCTTCCGGGGTTACTTCTAGGTGCTCCGGTTGGGCGACGAAACGAGCTTCCTCTTCCTGGAATACTTCTTTTCTCTGGCTCTCTGGACTCCTGCAAACTTAGTAATCATCATAACTTCCCTAGAGTCGTGAGAGACTCTTCAATTCCTCCTCCGAAGATGTAAGATGATGACCATGGGGCTCTGTATAGAGACTTGGTGAAGCGTTCACTCAAAGTGCATGCTGACAATAACCCTGCTGACAATAACCCTTTGTTGATAGCCCTCGATCTGGCTAATCCGAAGAAAGTACGTCTGGTGGTTGTATCCAGCTGCGCTAACTTCTTATCCTCAATCTTGTAAGTTCCTTGACGGGGAATCGGTGATAATCTTATAGTCATCATCAACCTCTGGAGCCTTCAGGAAGGGTTCCATCCTATGTAGAGGAAATTTCCTGGCGTTGAATGTCGGGATGCGTTGACTCTGCGACTTGGTGGCTTTATCAAAAGCTGCATTGAAGTTGTCTGGTACTTGAGAGATCGGGTTGGTCGGTGGAAAAGTGAGCGTGTCGAAATCATCTTTGGACATCTTGTAGGTAAACACCTCATCTGTGTCCTTAGAAGGTGATGATAAGTCGACGCCATGGGCGATCCAGGAGTTAATTTCCGTATCGGAGAAGACGCCTTCACCTTCCTCCTCTGATTTAGACGTCTCTCGCTCTAAGGATGCACGACGACTTGAGTCTCTATAAGATGATCTAGAAGATGAGTTTCGTGCAGGCGATCGATCCCGATGTGATCTTGAATCCTTCCTGGAGGTTTGAGATAATTCTCTAGACCTTTGCGAAGGTGGATTCCTGGACGTAGCTTCCCCTTGGGCTCTTGATGGGCATCGGAGTCCGATGGAGATGACGATTCATATCTGCGACGTCTGTAGGGTTCGGGAGAACGCCTTGATTCCTTCCTGCGTGAAGACTTCTTAGCCACACTCTCTGGGGCGTCTACTTCAGATGGGGAAGATCGTCGTGTCCTCGAGCCTTCGCACAGGCTTCCCTCTTCATCCAGATGAGGTGGGGAGACTGTAGAGCCTTCACGTAGGCTAGTAGACATTGTAGTGGTCTTCATAGCAGCCTTCTCTTGAGCGAAGTGACGTTCCATCATCGACATCATCTGGTCTGTAAACTGTTGCATGAACAGTCCATGGTTGAAGAGGTGAGGTGAGGGAAATTGGGTTTAACGTCGTACCTGAGAATATTTCGCTCATATGACGACGTGCATGCGTGTGTATGTGTATGTGCGGCTGCTTGTACTAGCCCAGACTTAAGCTGGTTTTATAGTGCTAGCCCACTGAGATACCATACCGCAGTGAAGCATGAATACCCCACTCAGACACATTATACTGACTCCGAGCCGACCAGTCCTTGTTGTACCCATTAATGCCGAGCGCCAGGCAGGGACCAACAAGTACCATATTTTAACGTCTTTTGGTATGACGCGGTCGGGGATCGAACCCCGCGACCTTCCGCTCTCCGGGCGGACGCTCTAACTACTACACCACGGAGGCGGTCATGGTTGAAGAGACTGCTGCAGGGATGATGCATCTGATACTAAAGAGACATCATCTAAGGCTCGCTGCACTCGTGAAGAGTTGATGCTGCTGCTATCTCTGGTGCCCGATGTCTGCGCTAATACAAATGTCGATGTCGCCAAATGGAGGAAGGGACGCTACTCTGGGTGAGTGATTTTACGTCTGCTTTTTTAAAGGGAACTTCGATTACAAGTGTTCCACTATCATTCACAAGAGGAAGGAGACAAGCATAATTAGCATGAGTCAGGATAAGGAAAAATGCAGTATATATGGAGTTTTTCTGCTTCACTATGGGGGCGCAATTGAACTTGCTGCATCCACTGTCAATTTTTATGCGTATAGGGCGCAGGAATTTGCGTACCATAAATCCCTGGACGCTTTAACCATTAGACTACCCCACCGCCCCACAATGACAAAGAGGTTAACACATGAGTATGTGTATCTTGATGAGAGTAAAATGATCAAAGTGAGTCCCGTTTAGCACAGGCATGCGGATGACTCTCCGATTTAACACTGCTCTGAAAGGTATTTCACTTATATCCTTGAGGTGAATGTCTACTCACTGATGAGGTTCTTGCTGGTGATGCCTTTCTCGGTGACGGTGGTTGCCATGGTGCTGATGGAGAGTGGGAAGATGTAGGACTGGCGCAGCACCAGGGGCTGGGGAGGGGGGTTGAAGGAGGAGAAGGCTGTGGAGTTACTCTGCTCCTTCCCCTCAAACATCTCCATCACCGACATCTCGGGTCGGCGGTGACGCTCGTTGAAATAGGAGTACTGCAGAACAAAAAACACACATGAACGATAGAGACAGAGAATAAGAGAGTAGTATATTGGAAACATCCACAATTCTATATATATGGGCAAAAGAGGTATGAAAAGGCTGATCGTACTGGTTCAAATATGACTGACTGAGTTTGGTTTTACGCCGCTTTTAGCAATATTCCAGCAACATCACGGCGGGGGACACCAGAAATGGTTCAAATATGAAGATACAAATCCATCCTACAGTAACCTTCTTAGTCAGACACTGATTTTGTACGGGTATTCACAAGCTCCACCAAAGAGCTCAATACTGATAATGAAGTTTACATACCTACATGTACACCAAATATTTCACTTAAATATTCAGTGAAATTTATGAACATTCAAACATGAAAAGGTCAGGTTTCATGAGGCTGCAAGTGTTATTATTACGAACACAAAAAAAACAGACAGTATAAAAATGATCAACATAATGAACATCGATTTACGCTATTGGGATACGTTGACAAGTGTCAATCATGTCAGTGAACCTGACCACCTGCATGGGTTGCTGAAGACCAATTCTAACCCGGATCGTCACTGGAAACTAAGTAATCTGAGAGAGTTACTGCAGGAAATCTGTCAGACTCTAGAGTGAGTGAGTTTAGTTTTTACACAGTTTTAGCAGTATTTCAGCAAAATCATGGCAGGGGACACCAGAAATGGGCTTCAGACATTGTACTCATGTGGGGAATTGAACCTGGATCTTTGGCATGACAAGCAAACGCTTCAACCATTAGGCAGGCCCTCTGCCCCTCGAACTCTAGACTTTTACTGTTGGAGGGGTTTTAAGCTATATGTTTGCAATGTTGGAATGTAAGGTGGACACTGTGTTTAAGTTAACTCACCACCACCCAGTTCTCAGAGTGGACAATGTTGACCGGACCCTTTGCTCTCTTGTGGTTCACATGGAACACTATGTGACCTGTCACTCCATCGATGAGGTAAATGTTGAAGAAACTGGATGGACCTTTAAAACATGACAACATCTGATATAAACAACAAAAATAGCTGAAGATAGTGAGTGGATCAGGTTTTATGGTGCTAATAGCAATATTGCAGCTGTATCATGGTAGGGGACACCAGAAATGGAGCACACTGACCATGTGGGGAATCGAACCTATAGGTCTTTGGCGGGACAGGTGAACACTTTCACCACAAGGCTACCCGGCCCTACTAGACATCATCAGTTTGTTTAGTAGTGAGTGAGTATAGTTTATGCCTCACATGCAGCAATATTCCAACTATATGGTGGCAGTCTGTAAATAATCAAGTCTGGACCAGACCAGATAGTAAGTAAAATAATATGATGACACTCTCACTGACTGATCAGTTACCCTGACCATATGAAGTGAGACAAAGAATTTTCAATGCCCCTTTCAGCATTACTTCCACTTTACAATGCAAGGTAATATGCTAATCTGGTCCTGGTACACCAGTGACTAAAGCCATGAGCAACATCCCAAACCATCAGGTCACAATGACATTTACAGGTCACAATGACATTTAATCAGCTTAGTCACAAAACCAGGTCATCTGATTCAGTATTGCCATGTCCTATGATCAGTAATGTCATGCTTGAACTTCTTCTAAATACAAATAAAAGTAAAATATATGAAAACGAGTTGACGAACTCACCTTTATGAGTTGCTGATGTAACAGCTGGTTCCTCTCCCTCAGTTACCACGGCAACCAAGTTGGGGTTAAGGTACTTGTACAACACACTTCTGTCTCCCAACACTCGACCTTGTGAGTGCACATGTTCTACAAAGGAACAACAGGATATTACCATGGATACATGGAGTGTTTATTAATTAACAGTCCCTTCATCAATATTCATGTGACGGGGCCCTAAGTTTGAACCAGAGATTTATATTATCAGTAATGATCCATGCCTACAGAATATGTTCAGACACAAGGAATTCAGTCATTATGCTGATTAATGAAACAGGTAATTTTATCTGTGTGTGTGTGTGTTCGTGTGTTCGTGCGTGTCTGTCTGCTTCTGCTAGTCCAGTCTAATCACAGATTTATAGTGCCACCCCACAGAGATACCCCTCCACAGTCTAACATGGACACTCCACACAGGACCCTTACACAGACACAAGCCACTACTTGTTTCAGCCCATTATGTCAATAGCCAGGCAGGGTAACAGAAAACACCATGTTATTCCCCAAAAGTCCTATCAGCATTTCCAATTATAACACACTTGTTTGAGTGGTATTTGGATGTCACTGGTTTCGTTGTTCAACTATAACACACTCAACTCACCATTAACCCTTTTGGAGATAACATCAACAATCCTCTGCTGTTTTTTCTGCAGGTCAATGTTCCACACTGGGTCAGCCTCAACCTCCTGTACACACAAACCAGGTGCATCTATTACAATATGAACATTCACTCTACAGTCATCTGGGAAGACCAACTTGCTTACAATGCTTCACAAGGTGTCAGGCTTTGGTTTCAAGGTATCAAGTCAAATTCAAGTAAAGGTATGCAAATATAGCCATAGTGTACATCAAGTGGGCTTATAAGTTGGTACTTACAAAAACATTGCAGCATATTGGAAATGTTAGCCAAAAGACATCCAATACTGCCAGAAATTGTGAAAATGACATGAAATTAAACAGGCTCAGATCAGCCAGTCATTATGTTCAGTCCTTTACAAATATGTAATTTTTAGAGTATAACTAAGAGATTATCAAAGGATATGGTGTGTAAGGAGACACAAGGCGCTCTCACATCCTGCTCACTGGTCGAAGAAGGAGAGAGTGAAGCACATGGCCAGAGGGTGGCGACACCTTTCCCGCCAGGGGAGACAAAGGGGAGCAACTCGTGGTGAGTACCAATTAGTGATTTTATTTTGAAGGGAGCTTCAAATAAGGGAGATACAAGTGTTCCACTATGTTGCAAGAAGAAGACAAGCAAAAGAGCATGAGTCAGGATAAGGAAAAAATTGATATTTTATACTTATCCTGACTCATGCTCTTTTGCTTGTCTTTCTTCTTCTACAACATAGTGGAAACACTTGTATCTCCTTAATTGAAGCTCCCTTCAATGTAAAATCACTAATTAGTACTCACCACGCAGTTGCTCCCTTTAATCCCTTTTGGCGGAAAAGGTGTCACCACCTCACCTCATGCTTCACTCTCTCCTGATTTTATGAGCCCAACACTTGAATTTACAGGAAATCCAAAGTGTTATGTGGGAGGATGGGAGGGCTGACCTCATGAGTCAGGATAAGTATAAAATATCAATTTTACTCTAAAAAATTACATATTTTCCTTATCCTGACTCATGCTTTTGCTTGTAGAATCCTACTGAACAGAGGGAGGGAGTAATAGAATACTTTGGATTTATAATTAGTGATTTTGTATAAATATAACTGTAATAACTGGTATGGGAACTTCATGAAGGCATTGACTTAGGATATTTCCTGTATATAAACCATAGGTTATATAATGCCATAATTGGGTATTACATTGATATATATTGAAAAACCATTACATATATTATATATATATATAAGTGACTCTGATAGAGTCGCTGTACAACTAAAGATAATATCCATATATACTTAGGGGTGAATGACCTAAGCTAAATATATATATACATAGCTCTAGAACTCCTTAGGAGTTATAAGCTAGCTAAATTATGTATATAATACATATTAAACTTGTGATGGTAATATTTTAACGCCTCACAGGACTGTCAGCTGTTGAGCGAGGACCAAAGGGCCGAAATGGTGAATGCCAGAGACATCTTCTGTGGTGATGTCTCTCAGGTAGTGATTCGCAAACACCATGTTCGATTTCCAAAAGCATCCTTCCATAATTGTGTTCAATGAACAGTTACCGTGCAGGGCGAGGGTGGAAGCCAGTGCCCTAATCTCATGCGGATTTGATGCTGTTGGTGGGTCCAAGCCTGCTGCCTTGTAGGCTGGGCATGACAGTCCTTATCCAAATAGATATGGTAGTACGCGAGACTTCTGTTTGATTTGTTGGCGATAAGGGGATGAATAATCTTTTGAGAAATCTTCGCCTTGTTTTGGATCGTCGTAAGTAAACTTTGAGAGCTCTGACTGGACACAGTGATAAGTCTTGTGTATCTTGTGATCCGAGAATCGAAGATAGCTGGTACATGGAATAACCTGTCTGGTTGACCTGGTAGTTGATTTTTGCAATGAAATCCCATCTTAATCCCAGGTGCGCTGTGTTTTGATTGTCATCAAACTGTATCCTCTCATAATCCAGAGCGTGAATTTCAGATATTCTTGCTGCCGTGGCTAGAGATAGCAGAAATAGTGTTTTCTGTGAGAGAAATTCAAAGTTTGTCGATTCCAAAGGTTCATAGGCCTCACTAGTGAGGTGTTGTAACACTACATTCAGATCCCAAGCTGGGCGTGGAACTTCCGCTTTGATCCTCCAATCGAAAGCACGTAGTAAGGCCAGTAACTCTGGAGATTTTGTCAGCTTGACACCCGCTCTCATAGTGATCACAGAGCTAAGCGGCAAGATATGTTGATATCGTCGAACCTCTTAAATGTTTGTTTTGGCCGCAGGTAACACAAATAGTCTGCCACTTGAGGATGCGAAGCATCTCTCGCTGTAAATCCTTTATTAGCTGCATAATTTTCAAACTGTGCCACTTGTCATCGCATAAGCCACGCTGCGAGTGTCGTAAGGCAAGCGTGACCGCTTTTGCCGCCCTGGCAGAATATCCTCTCTTGTTTAAACACATTTGTATACAGTCCATACGTGAAGTTGGTAAACTTCTGGGTTTCCGTGCACTTGTTTTGTGTGTGGATGTATTAACAGGTTTGCGCGCTTGGGTAGCTCTAATACTGGTTGACCGATTTCTTGAATTAGCATGGGAACCATACTCTGGCTGGCCAGTAGGGCGCGACCAAAGTGAGTTGTAGATTCTGTGTTTGTTTGATTTTCTGTAATACTTGAGGTATTATTGCTGGCGGCGGAAACGCGTACGCGTTGAGGCCTTCCCATGATATACTTAGAGCGTCCGTTTCCCAAGCTTGTGGATCTGGGATTTGTGACACGAATGTCGGTAGCTGATTGTTGAATCTTGTGGCGAATAGATCTATTAGCGCGCTGCTATTTGCTTGATTATCTGTGCAAATATTTCCGTATTGAGCATCCACTCTGTCGGGTGATGGTAGATGAGGCCGAGAGAGCCGCCTGCTAGTACATTTTGGCTCGGGAATGTGAACTGCTCTGATCTGTAGATTTAGATCATGGGTTAGATCGAATAGTTGAAAGCTTAAGTTCAAAAGGTTCAGTGATCTCGTTCAGCCTTGCTTGTTTACGTAGAACGCCACTGTGGAATTGTCGGTATGAATCATAAGGTGCGCATTTTGTAGAAATGTGCTCCAATGTAGAATGGCGTTGATTACAGCTTTCATCTCTAGGATGTTTATATGCAGTTTGCTTTCTTGTTGGTTCCATAATCCCGATGTCGTCTGGTTGGCGAGATGAGCTCCCCAACCTTGAAGTGACGCGTCCACATATAGATGGGTTTTGAATTCCTGCTCTGCTAAACAAATCCCTTCGCAGACATTCAATTTCTTTGTCCACCATAGTAGATGAGGTCTGAGATGTTTCGGTAGACTGAATGGCTGTAAATCGTCGAGATGTGCATTGATGAAGACCTGTAAGGGACGTAACTGTAACCTGCCTCTGACTGTCATGTCTTGGGCTGATGTGAGGAGACCTAGGAGGCTCTGCCATTGTCGAAGTGGTAACGGAGAGCGTAGAGCTGGTGGAATGGTCTGTTGGATCTTGATCCAACGGTCTTCTGGTACGACGATACGGTTGAGATTTGTGATAAATCGAATGCCTAGGAACTGTAGGTCTTGTGACAGTACTAGGTCCGACTTGAGTAAGTTTACTAACCATCCTAGCTGTGTTAGTAGCTTTATGATGTAGTTTAACTGTAGTTTGAGATGCTGTGGATCTTGATCTACTTGTATCCCGTCGTCGAGGTAAAACGCACTGCGTAGCCCTTGATGATGAAGATAGGTGATAATCGGTTTCGTTATCCTCGTGAAAAGCCAGGGGGCTGATGATATTCAAATGGGAGCACTTTCCACTGGTAATGTTGCCCGCCTAAAGTAAACCGTGAGGTATTTCCTGGCTTTGGAGTGTATCGGGATGTGCAGGTAAGCATCCCTGTAGATCGATACTGCCCATGTAGTCCATGGGGCTTAATCAACTGTCGTGAACTGAGGTAAATGTATCATGCTTGAACTTGGGGTTTGCTGAGATAGTTCTTGTTGAAAAGCTCATGTTGTAAATGAGTCTGTATTTCTCCTTGGAGTTTTTCTTGGGAACTAGGAAAACTGGGGAGTAGAAACCTGGTTCTATGTTGTCTTGGTCTAGTACTTCTATGGCCTGCTTTTATTAAGAGTGATGTAACAGCCTCTCTTAACTTTAGGTAGTTGTTGTGCCTGTAAGTTCTAACTTGTGAGGGTTGACTGTCAGTGGAGGCTTGGCCTTTAGTGGGATACGAAATCCGCGTTGAAGAATGTTGGAGACATAAGGGTCTTGTAACATTCCCCAGTTTTCCCAGTGTAGTTGGAGGCGTCCACCCACTTGAGATGGTTGTACTGGAACGGCTGGGGTGGAAGACTCCAGTCGTTCGAACCTGTCTTTCAGCGTTTATAGTTGCGGGAACCTCTGGGTGTCCTGCCTCTTCCTGATCCTCCTCTATAGTTGCCATATGGGCTTAATTTAAAAGAATCTTTTCCTCTAGAGCTGGCTATCTTCCTGTCTCGTGCTCTCTGTAGGCCCGTGAATTTAGATCTTCCTGAGTATCTTTGAGAGGTCTGTCGGATGACGCTGGCTAGTGTGTCCATCAATTTAATCATCAGGACTTCTCTGGAATCCTTAGTGACTTCCTTGGAAACTTTGTCTATTTCTCCATTAAAGATGGATGTTGAAGACCACGGGGCTGTATATAGTGGGGCTGTAAAGTTCTCACCCCAGTTGCAGGAAGCGAGGAGGCCTTGACGACGAGCTAAGGTCAGTGCTCCTGAAATAGATGTAAGATGATCTGTTAGGAACTGCTGGTCTTTCTTTTGCATAAGTAAGGCAGAATAAATCATTCTATCATCCTCAGAAGTCGTGTTCACGAAATCTGGTGATAAGAGTCTCATTGATCGTTCTAGATCTATTTAAACCAAAAACATACGCCTCGTCATGGTTTCTATCTGGACCAACTTCGATCATCAATCTTGTAATTCTTGTTCTTGACATCGTTGATCAACTTATAGTTCTCATCGATGTCTTGAGCTTTGAAGAAGGGTCCATGTTATGCGTGGAGAACTTCTTGGCATGAAAGTTGGTAGATGTGGTGTCTGAACTTTCGTGGCTTTGTGGAATGCTGCATCTAGATTCTGTGGAACTGCTGCAATCGGGTCGATCGGTGGTAGTGTGATAGCATCTGCATCGTCTTCTTTCATCAGATATGTCTGCGCTCACATTGCCATTTTTAGATGGTGATGAGAGATCTAGGTTATTGACCATCCAATATCTGTATCTCAGCATCGGAGAAAATAACTCCTCCATCATCCTCTATACCATCATCATTGATGAGAGGTTGGTGCTGTTCTGGACTGCGTGCTTCTGTCTCTTGAGTCTGTGGATGCTTGTGCAGCTCTGTGGTGATGACCTGTAAGGTGATCGTGGTGATGAACGAGGAGGAGATCGTCTAGGTGATCTATATCTATGGGTTGATCTTCTTGGTGACCTGTGAGGAGAACGTTGATAGCTTCGCTGAAGCTCTTGTGTAGTCCCTCGATGTCCTTCTAGATGATGAAGATCTGGATTCAGCTGCCCTTCGCCGAATGCCTTCGCAAAGCTTCGTCTGCGTCCGGTCCGGGGGAATTACGATAAGACCTTCGCGAAGGCTTTTCGTGATGTCTGATGGTCCAAGTCCACATCTTGGGATGAAGGTGACGAGGGTGATGATCTATCCCGCCTTCGCGAAGGCTGTACATCTAGGTCCTTCGTGGAGGTGGTCCGTGCCTTCCTTCGCGAAGGTGACATCGTCTTGGCTGCTACGTTGACGGGGGGTGCCTCTGGGGTGCTGTCTCACGTTGGAGCCTTCGCAAGGCTCGGGTCCTGCTTCTGCAGTCTATATCGGTCTTCCATCATCGTCATAATTTGCTGCATCAGGTCATCAGGGGATGGTCTGCGCATGATGTTGTCTGTGCCTTCTCTGCGGAGTTAATGATGGGGTCCACAGCAATAACGTCTGACATCAGTGTAGAGGCATCAGGCTGCATGAAGATCTCTGCTGAAGTCTTCTTGTGCCGTATGTCGGGGATGATAATCGGCTGGTCATCGTAGAGGCCCATTTCTTCGGCTGGAACGATCTCGCTGAGAAAGTTCTCGCTGTCTTCGTGACTTTCCTTTGGATGTGACGCTGCCCTGGGGTACGAAGTCTGGCGTTGAGAAGACGCCGAGGCCCTCTTGGACTTTGTCTAGCGATGACGGGATGTCTGGGGAGGCCGGTCGCTTCTTAGAGGTGACGGACTCGCGCCCCACGCCTCTTCCGATGGGGTCTCTAGCAGAACACCAGACGGTAGGGGATCAATCGCCAGCAGCTGACTAGATGGAGTATCTGGAGTATCAGCCATATTTAGCCCTTTGTTTGCGTGACCTATCTGCAGCACGCCTTAAGACGCAAAGATAGTATTTATTAAATGCAGAATTAGATAAATCAATGCAATAACTGCAACGGAATCAAACGCATGGCGTAGAACAACTAGGGCATATTACATGCGGATCTGAGGCAGAAAAACGTAATCTACAAATAGTACAGATTTTCATCAACGTAATACTAGCTGAACAATCACGAACTCACGTTGAATAAACAGTAGAAATAATGATTAATAATCAATACAAATTACTGAAGGATACTAGCTATACCTCTATAGTACACTATAAGAGGTAATAAACTAAGAAAAATCAAAGGATATGTTGTGTAAGGAGACACAGGCGCTCTCACATCCTGCTCACTGGGCGAAGAAGGAGAGAGTGAAGCACGAGGTGTAAGGTGGCGACACCTTTCCCGCCAAAAGGGATTAAAGGGGAGCAACTCGTGGTGAGTACTAATTAGTGATTTTACATTGAAGGGAGCTTCAATTAAGGAGATACAAGTGTTTCCACTATGTTCGCAAGAAGAAGACAAGCAAAAGAGCATGAGTCAGGATAAAGAAAAATATGTAATTTTTAGAGTAAAATTGATATTTTATACTTATCCTGACAATGAGACCCAAAGCATGTTCACTAAGTAATATTTAATAATGAGTAATGCCAGAAATTTTCAAAACAATGATTTGAACTTAAACTTGCCACCTATGTCATAGCCACCAGCCATACCCAAGCTAAGCATCAGGTTTAACTTGAACTTAGAATCTCCATGCAACGCTAAATGAAATGCGAAAAATTGCGTCCAGTAAAGGCCACTACTTTCATCAAAACAATGATTTGTACAGGCTAAAGTCAGACCTACCATAGAGTAATGCTTACACCTAAGTAACAATAAATGAAAACAAGACACACAGAAATGGTCCAAACAATGACGGTGACAGTGATGACACTTACCCCATTGCTTCTTGCCAGGACCCGGTAACCATTCATGTAGCCTGTGTCGATCTCCGACACATACATGAACATAGACGACAGACGTTCTTCAGCAACTGACTTCACAGCCTCGGGGTAGAAGCGGGCCTTTGTAGGACAAGGACAGAGAACTCAGTGACATTCTCACATGAGGGGGCAAGTTTGCAGCCCTACTAAAGTGGCCTGTGAAGAATTCATATTTGTTTGTTGTTTACGCCGAACTCAGCAATATTCCAGCTATGGTGGCAGAATATAAATAACAGTCTGGACCAGACAATCCAGTGATCAAAGGCATGAGCATCGATCTACGCAACTGGGATATGATGACATGTGTCAACTAAGTCATCAAATCTTACCACCCGATCCCGTTAGCTGCCTTTTACGACAAGGCTGCTGAAGACCAATTTTAACCCAGAGCTTCATGGGTGAACCAGTTACAATTGATGCAAATATCATAAATAATACACAGAATTTGTTTAGATTGGATTGGACAGTAATTTTTCCATGTACTATTTCAGTATTTAGTTTCACTGTTTAATGTACTGTCAGCCATGTGATACTGTAATGCAAAAGTCAATATTCATAAACATTGTTCCGGCCATATCAGGATCTTCCTTCAATCTGACTAAATGGGCAAAGATGAATCTTTTGCTTCATGCCATCACATAATATATTCGAGTAAGTAAACTTAAAAGTGCCAAATTCAAATCCTTTTCAATACATTTTATCAAATTTTAAATCGTTTTCAAGACAGATCCAGATCCAGATTGGCTGGATGACCAATGTCAAGGCCTTGTGTCCTTGTTTGTTGTTTAATGCCTAACTGTACAAGATTCTAGCTAAATGACCATGATGGTCTGTAAATAACTGCCTCTAAGAAGATTGCCAATGATCGAAGTTGTGAGCACTGTCCCAGATTATGAAACAAGTAGCCCAGCCTGACCACCAAATCCGTTTGGCAGTCTCTCATTACCATAATAGGTTGCTAGGGATCTATTCCAGGGATTTACAGGATGCACATTCCTGCGTCCTATACTCATAAAAATTGATAATGGGTGCAACAAAATTTATTAGCGCATCCACAGGGACGCAGAAAAAGTCTAAATACTTTTCGTAAAATTTCCAATCAAGTGACAATAAGTTATCACTGAGTTTGCTACTAGCTGGTTTGTGGTATTATTTGCAATTAAATTACTGTAACAATGTGTAACAATGTGTAACATTTTGTTGTCCATGACCCCTGAAAATTAAGAGTATGAGTCCCAGGGACGCTCAAATACAGGACTCCATGTAAATCCCTGTATTCTAACCTGATACCATGTGTGAACGTTGTTTGATATCACTCACCCTGTAGTCGGAGCCGAGTAGAACCAGGCCTCTCACAAAGTCCTCACTCATCTCGGACAGAAGTGCAGCCTGGATGACATCATAGCCAAGGTCAAGGCCTTGAGTGGGCAATCCTTCCACAGGAGACCCAGTAACTGGGTCAAAGGCATAAAGGAAGCCGTTTCCAGTTTTCTATAAAAGACAAACATTCATCTTCTGAAGTCAGCATTTATATATTCTGAACCAGGAATTGATTTCACATTGTGTTCACTAATTCAAAAATAAACTGCCATTGAGTTAGGGTTAGACACATCTTGGAATTAAAAAAGAACATTCCTATTATAATATTTGTGTGAAACTGTTAATAACCTCAGAGATACATTTTCACAAGTTATCATGATTCATATATTTATATATTGAAACATAAATGTGAATCAGAAATAAAAACAAATGTTCAAAGCAATCCTGTTCAGTTAAACACTGTATTTAACTTTAGTAAAATATTAAAAAAAAAAATCAGCTAATCTCAAAAGAAAATGTAATTTTTAGAGTAAAATTGATATTTTATACTTATCCTGACTCATGCTCTTTTGCTTGTCTTCTTCTTCTTGCGAACATAGTGGAACACTTGTATCTCCTTATTTGAAGCTCCCTTCAAAATAAAATCACTAATTGGTACTCACCACGAGTTGCTCCCCTTTGCTTCCCCTGGCGGGAAAGGTGTCGCCACCCTCTGGCCATGTGCTCCACTCTCTCCTGATTTAGTTTGAGCCCAACACTTGAATTTACAGGGAAATCCAAAGTGTTATGTGGGGAGGATGGGAGGGACTAACCTCATGAGTCAGGATAAGTATAAAATATCAATTTTACTCTAAAAATTACATATTTTCCTTATCCTGACTCATGCTCTTTGTTTTGTAGCATCCTACGGAACGGAGGTGGGTAACAGAATACTTTGGATTTATAATTAGTGATTTTGTATAGATATACTGTAATATCCCCTACGGGAACTTTCATGAAGGCTTAGATTTAGGATGTTTCCTGTATAAAGAAAACCATAGGTTATATAAAGCCATTAAAGGGGAATTACATTATGAATATATTGAACAATACATATAAATTATATATATATATATAGGTGACTCTGATAGAGGCACTGAAATTGACTATACTAAAGTATATGCTTAAGGTTGAATACTTTTAAGCTGAACATATATACATAGCCCTAAAACTCCGTGAGAGTTATAAGCTAGATGAGTATGTATAAAATACATATTAATCTTGTGAGGATAATATTTTAACGCCACGAGGGACTGTCAGTTGCTGAGCGAGGACCAGTGGTCCGAATGGTGAATGCCAGAGACATCTTCTGTAGTGATGTCTCTCAGGTAGTGATTAGCAAATACCATGTTAGATTTCCAATAGCATCCTTCCATAATCGTGTTCAAGGAACAGTTACCGTAGTAGGCGAGGGTAGAGGCCAGTGCCCTGATCTCATGTGGATTTGATGCTGTTGGTGGGTCCAAGCCTGCTGCCTTGTAGGCACGGAGAATGACAGTCCTTATCCAAATAGATATTGTGGTCCGTGACACTTCTGTTTGATTCAGAGGCGATAAGGGGATGAATAAACGCTTTGAGAAATCTTCTCCTTGTTTTGGATCGTCAGAATAAACTTTGAGCTCTTACCGACACAGTGATAGGTCTTGTGTATCTTCTGATCCGAGAATAGAGGATAGCCGGATGTGGAATAATCTGTCTGGTTGACCTGGCAGTTGATTTTTGGCGATGAAATCCCATCTTAATCCGAGGTGTGCTGTGTTATGATTGTCATCAAACTGTATCCTCTCGTAATCCAGAGCGTGAATTTCAGACATTCTTGCTGCTGTGGCTAGCGATAGCAGAAACAGTGTTTTCTGTGAGAGAAATTCAAAGTTTGTCGATTCCAAAGGTTCATAGACCTCACTTCGTGAGGTGTTGTAACACTACATTCAGATCCCAAGTTGGCGTGGAACTTCCGCTTTTGGTCCTCCAATCGAAAAGCTCGTAGTAAGGCCAGTAACTCTGGAGATCTTGTCAATTTGACACCCGCTCTCATGGTGATTACAGAACTAAGCGCGGCAAGATATGTTGATATCGTTGAACCTTTTAAATGTTTGTTTTGGCGTAGGTAACACAAATAGTCTGCCACTTGAGGTTGTGAAGCCTCTCTTGCTGTAAACCCTTTCTTTGTTGCATAATTTTCGAAACTGTGCCACTTGTCGTCGCATTGCCACGAGTTGAGTAACGTAAGCGTGACTGCTTTTGCCGCCTGGCAGAATATCCTCTCTTGTTTAAACACATTTGTATACAGTCCATACGCAGTAGTTGGAACATTGCTGGGTTTCCGCACTTGTTTGGTGTGAGGATGAATTAACAGGTTTGCCGCTGGGTAGCTCCAGTGTTGGTTGACCGATTTCTTGAATTAGTATGGGAAACCACGCTCTGGCCGGCCAGTAGGGCTGCACCAAAGTGAGTTGTAGGCTCTGTGTTTGTCTGATTTTCTGTAATACTTGAGGTATTATTGCTGGCGGCGGAAACGCCGCACGCATTGAGGCCTTCCCATGATAGACTTAGAGCGTCCGTTGCCCAAGCTTGGGGTCTGGGACTGGTGACACGAATGTCGGTAGCTGATTGTTGAATCGCGGGCTTAATAGGTCTATTAGCGGCGCCCTAATTGCTTGATTATCTGTGCAAAATTTTCCTGTTGATCATCCACTCTGTCGGTGATGGTAGATGAGGCCGAGAGAGAGCTGCCTGCTAGTATATTTCTGGCTCGGGAATGTGCACTGTTCTGACATGTAGATTTAGATCTTGTATTAAATCGAACAGTTGAAAGCTTAGGTTCAAAAGGTTCATCGATCTCGTTGAGCCTTGCTTGTTTATGTAGAACGCCACTGTCGAATTGTCTGTATGGATCATTAGGGCGCATTTTGTAGAAATGTGCTCCAATGTAGAATGGCGTTGATTACAGCTTTCATTTCTAGACTGTTTATATGGAGTTTGCATACTTGCTGATTCCATAACCCTGATATCGTGTGGTTGGTGAGATGAGCTCCCCAACCTTGGAGTGACGCGTCTACATACAGATGGGTTTTGTTTCCTGCTCTGCTAAACAAATCCCTTCGCAGACATTCGATTTCTTGGTCCACCATAGTAGATGCGGTCTGAGATGTTTCGGTAGACTGAATGGTTGTACATCGTTGAGATGTGCGTTGATGAGGACCTGTAGGGGACGTAATCGTAATCTGCCTGTGACAGTCATGTCTTGGGCTGATGTGAGAAGACCTAGTAGGCTCTGCCATTGTCGCGAGTGGTAACGGAGAGAGTAGAGCTGGTGGAATGGTCTGCTGTATCTTGAGCCAACGGTCTTCTGGTACCAAAATACGGTTGCGATTTGTGATGAATCGAATACCTAGGAACTGCAGGTCTTGGCGATGGTACTAGGTCCGACTTAGCGTAAGTTTACTAACCAACCTAGTTGTGTTAGTAGCTTTATGATGTAATTTAACTGTAGTTTGAGACGCGGTGGATCTTGATCTACTTGTATCCCGTCGTCGAGGTAAAACGACTGCTCGTAGCCCTTTGACGATGTAGAAATTTGATAATCGGTTTCGTTATCCTCGTGAATAGCCAGGGGCTGATGATATTCAATGGGGAGTACTTTCCACTGGTAATGTAGCCCTTCTAGAGTAAATCGTAGGTATTTCCTGGAATCGGGATGAATGGGGATGTGCAGGTAGGCATCCTGTAGATCTATGCTGCCCATGTAGTCCATAGGACGAATCATCTGGCGTAACTGAGGTAAATGTATCATGCGAAAACTTCGGTGGTTTTAATGTGAGATAGTTCTTGTTGAAAAGCTCATGTTGTAGATGAGTCTGTATTTCTCCGTGGAGTTTTTCTTGGGAACTAGGAAAACTGGGGAGTAGAAACCTGGTTCGACGCTTGCTTGATCTATTACTTCTATGGCCTGTTTGGATAGGAGTGATGAAACAGCCTCTCTTATCTTTGGTAGTTGTTGCTTTGTAAATCGAACTTGGGGGTTTGATTGTCAGCGAGGCTTGGCCTGTAGAGGGATACGAAATCCGTGTTGAAGAATGTTGGAGACGTAAGGGTCTTGCAATATTCCCCAGTTTTCCCAGTGTAGTTGGAGGCGCCCACCCACTTGAGCTGGCTGTACTGGAACGGCTGGGGTGGAAGACTCCAGTCGCCCAACCTGTGTTTCAGCGTCTATAATTGCGGGAACCTCTGGGTGTCCTGCCTCTTCCTGATCCTCCTCTATAGTTGCCATATGGGCTTACTCTAAAGAATCTTTACCTCTAGAGCTGGCTATCTTCCTGTCTCTTGCTCTTTGTAGGCCCGTGAACTTAGATCTGCCTGAGTATCTTTGTGAAGTCTGACGAATGACGCTGGCTAGTGTGTCCATCGATCTAATCATAAGGACTTCCTGGAATCCTTAGAGACTTCCTTGGCGACTTTGTCGATTTCTCCGCCAAAGATGGATGTTGTCGACCACGGGCTGTATAAAAAGTGGGCTGTAAAGTTCTCCCCAATTACAGGAGGCGAGGAGGCCTTGACGACGCGAGCTAAGGTCAGTGCTGCTGAAACAGATGTAAGATGATCCGTTAAAAACTGCTGATCTTTCTTTGCATAAGTAAGGCAGAATAAATCATTCTATCATCTTCCGTCGTGGAATCCCGAATCTAGTCTCATTGATCGGTCCTAGATCTATTTAACCCAAAGAACATACGCCTCACGTCATGGTTTCTATATGAGCCAACTTGCGATCATCCATCTTGTAAATCTTGTTCTTTACATCGCTGATGATCTTATAGTTCTCATCGATGTCCTGGGCCTTGTAGAAGGAGTCCATGTTATGCGTGGAGAACTTCTTGGCTTGAAAGTTGGGCAGATGTGGTATCTGAACTTTCTCGTGAGCTTTCTGGAAAGCTGCATCTAGATTCTGTGGCACTGCCGCAATCGGGTCGATCGGGGTAGAGTGATTGCATCTGGATCATCTTCCTTCATCAAATACGCCTGCGCTTGTATTGCCACTTTTAGATGGTGATGTGAGATCTAGGTTATTGACCATCCAATACCGTGATCTCTGCATCAGAAAATATGATTCCTCCATCATCCTCAAAACCATCATCATTAACAAATTGTAGATGCTCTTCGACTGCGCGTAGCTGTCTGTATATCTGATGAGGTTTGTGGCGATCTAGTTGACTTGTGCGCCGCTCTATGTGGAGATCTGACGGGTGATCGACCTGGTGATGAACGAAGTGGAGATCGTCTATGGGATGATCTTCTCGGAGACTTGTGAGGTGAATGTTGATAGCTTCGCGAAGCTCTTCGGCAGTCCCTCGATGTTCTTCTAGATGATGAGGATCTGGAATCATATGTCCTTCGCGAATGCCTTCGCGAAGCTTCATTTGCGTCCGGTCCGGGGGATCGATGATATGACCTTCGCGAAGGCCTCCGTGATGTCTGATGGTCTGAGTCCATATCTAGAGATGAAATCGAAGATGGTGATGATCTCTCCCGCCGCCAAGAGCCTTCGCTGGCTGTACATCTAGGTCCTTCGTCAAGGTGGTGCGGGACTTCCTTCGCGAAGGTGACATCGCCTTGGCTGCTACGCTTGACGGGGTGCCTCTGGGGTGCTGTCTACGTTGGAGCCTTCGCCGGTTGTTCGACCCTGCTTTGCGCAGTTTGTAGTGGTCCTCCATGATGTTCATAATCTGCCGCGATCATGTCTTCTGGGATGATCTGTGGCGAAGTCGCCGGGCGCCTTTTCTGCGATGGGGGTTCACATCAATGACGCCCTGACGCCGGTGTGTAGAGGCATCAGGCTGCATGGTGATCTCTGCAGAAGTCACAGTCGCTGACACCGGGTAAGCTTCTTCTGCCGTAAGTCGGGATGATTATCGGCTGATCATCGTAGAGGCCCAATTCTGCTGCTGGAACCATCTCGCTGAGAAAGTTCTTGCTGTCTTCGTAGATTTCCCTTTGGAAGTCTGGCGCTGCCCTGGGTGTCCTCAATCTGCTGAGACGGCGATGAGGCCCTCTTAGACTTGGTCTGCAATGACGGGATGTCTGGGGAGGCCGGTCGCTTTCTTCGAGGTAACGGATCATGCGTCCACGTTCCTCTGCCGCAGGGGTCTCTAGCAGAACACCAGACGGAGAGGGTCGATCGCTAGCAGCTGACTGGATGGAATATCTGGACTCTCTGCCATGTTTTGCCCTTGTTTGCGCGATCTATCTGCAGCACGCCTTAAGACGCAAAGATGATATTTATTAAATGCAGAATGAGATAAATTAATGCAGTAACTGCAACGTGAATTAAACGCTACACGCGTGAGAACAACTAGGGCATATTACATGTGGATCGGAGGCAGAAAACGTAATCTACAAATCGTACAGATTTTCATCAACGTAAAGTTAGCTGAACAATCACGAATACACGTGAATAAACAGTAGAAATAATGATAATTAATCAATACAAATAGTAAAGGATACTAGCTATACCTCTATAGTAACCTATGAGAGGTAAAAACTAAGAGATTATCAAAGGATATGGTGTGTAAGGAGACACAAGGCGCTCTCACATCCTGCTCACTGGGCGAAGAAGGAGAGAGTGAAGCACATGGCCAGAGGGTGGCGACACCTTTCCCGCCAGGGGAAGCAAAGGGGAGCAACTCGTGGTGAGTACCAATTAGTGATTTTATTTTGAAGGGAGCTTCAAATAAGGAGATACAAGTGTTCCACTATGTTCGCAAGAAGAAGAAGACAAGCAAAAGAGCATGAGTCAGGATAAGGAAAAATATGTAGTATTGATCTTCAGACATGCCATTTGTAAATTAAAGTGAGAATGTCTCCTTTTCGTCATGTATCAACATGCAAGATGTTTAATGTCCAGATTCGGATGACAAGGAATAAGAAGCAACAATATCTTATGTCTCTGTCTGTTTCTAACAATTGTCTGAGACTGACCCGACTCTTGCCGACCACGACACACTGGGGCAGCAGAGGGAAGTGTGCTGTGGTCCTCTGTGTGTACAACACCAGCCTCTGTTTGGAGTAGCGGTCAAAGGGAGACAACTCTGGCAGGAACTGCTGCCACACTAACTTGCCTGTGTGACTTCGCAAACCAAATATCTGCAACAGAAATGAATGATTTCATACATTTACTCTTTCCTTGAAGAAACAAAGTACTAGGACATGTTTAACTTAGCCAGTAAATAGAAACATGATGGAGACAGCCATATAGTTCATGTATTTTGCATCATGTCTAAATGTCTCACACCAAAGGTCCTAAATATGTGTTTAACGCAGCACTCAGCAATATTCCAACAGCAGTCGTCTGTAAATAATTGAAACTGGACCAGACAATCCAGTGATCAACATCATGAGCATCGATCTCCACAACTGGGATAAGATAACATGAGTCAACCAAGTCAGCGAACCTGACCACCCAATGCCGTCAGTCACCTCTTACGACAAGCATAGGTTGGCGGTTCTTCATGGGTCTCTCCGGACAGAGGTTTAAAACAATCCACCATGCAGGAAATTCCATTTCAATCCATGTTTCATGTTGTTCTCCTCACCTTCCCTGATGCTGTTACAGCGATGATGATCTTCTTCAGGTTAAACTCATCACGGGTCAGGTCTTCCTCCATGTCATCCTCCTCTTCCTCCAGGTCCTCGTTGTCATGGGCAACCATCGGGGAGTGATGTCTGTGGCCCTGAAGCTTGCTGATCAGGCCTTCAGCAAAAGACTGTTGAAAACACACACATCTACCTGAGACTAGCAGAGTATACAGGTAAACTTCAAACAATAATCCAAAGACAGACTTGCCTGTCCAATTCGAATATTAAATTTTGTCAGATCAGTATAATCAGCTCATGTAAACAACATATCAAGTGCCCTCTCCTTACAATATGCCAGTTCCATCTAGTTTCATCAAGACAACAAAATATTAAAACAATCTTAACTATCACTCTCTCAGTTGTTGGTAAAGTTTTCTGGAATTCAACACTACCCCAGTTCATGTTACCCTAAATTGGTGATGAAATTTATTGGAACTCTGAGACTATTATCTCTTCCAACCAGACTGACTGAAATGCAGTACCTGTATCTGTGACAGCTGTGCCAGCAACCGCTTCACAAACATGGCAGCAATATCATCTGAAACAACCACCGATCATTACTACTTCCACACACACGTTTCAATGCAGTATGATCGTATCTTGATGTCATGTATTGATGGGAGGTGAGGTGAGGTGAAATTGGGTTTAACGTCGTGCTTGAGAATATTTCGCTCATATGACGACGTGCATGCGTGTGTATGTGTATGTGCGGCTGCTTGCACTAGCCCAGACTTAAGCTGGTTTTATAGTGCTAGCCCACTGAGATACCATGCCGCAGTGAAGCATGAATACCCCACTCAGACACATTATACCAGGCAGGGACCAAAAAGTACCACATTTTAACGTCTTTTGGTATGACGCGGTCGGAGATCAAACCCGCGACCTTCTGCTCTCCGGGCGGACGCTCTAACCACTACACCACGGAGGCGGTCATGTATTGATGGGAAATAGAACCTGGATAACATTACTATTTTAACTGACTGACTAATACCTACACAGATGGGGATCTGCCTGTAAGCTTCCAGTCTTGTTATGGAATGAAAATATCCTATATCCTATGAATGATAGATTCCTGTGCTTGCTGCATTTTATTCTAAGAGTTATGCTCAAAATGTACACATACAATGAGCTTAGAGTATATTTCCCAACACAAGGATTGTTGCTGTATATTGTAAACAACTGATTGCTGTTTTGAGACAATTACACTTGGTAATCTTTTCCTGTGCATCTAAAATAATCACTCACATGAAATTCAACTGAAACCATAAAACATTATAATGAGTAGTGTTACATTACAAACAGTCACAAAATCATTGACCAAGTTTGTTATCTTTTTGTTCAAATGTGACAATACAATGTAGATTTTGAATAAACACAATATTAGAAGAAGGATATTCCCCAAAGTTTTGAACTTAAGAATGGGTGATAAGCATTATATTTGTGTGCACTGTACACAAGAAAGTATGGTAACTGTATTAATGTGTCTTGCATTTTCAGAGACTTGAGGCATCATATCCTGCAGCTAACAAGTGTGAAGAATGGATGCTGCTGTCAGGGAAACAGGAACATAATATGTCCGGGTAATGACAGAGAACCCGTCAGATACTTTTCCTTTGTTCATTCTCTAATACTTACCTTCAATGGAACCAAATTCATCCTCAAACTTGGCCTGGTTCTCAGACAATGGTAGATCTACCATTTCCACACTGAGAATATAAGCCAGCGATTCTTCTCTTCGCCATGTGGTTTTCCCTGGACAAACATACACAACAATTCAGACTGTGTTGAGGAGATGTTAACTTACATATATGACGTAATAAAACAGAAAATTGACAGAAGGGGACATATTTTGGTCACTCCTTTCACAGTGATAAGCTGATGTAATGAGTGACATTTTACACCGCTTTTTGTGATTCTCCAGCGATTTCATGGAGGGGGACACTAGTAATGGGCTTCACACATTGAACACATCAATGCAGCATGCACAGTCAATCACCTACCTGATCTGAAATGAATGGTGTAATCTTCCGACGTGAAGGCTACTTTACAGGACATTCTCCCATCCTTCTTGCGGGTAAACAGCAGCCCATGTAACTGTGGAACAAGAGCTGAAATCAGGACTTGTGCGGGATAATTCCGTGTTTTACATACAGAGAGTTCTCATTGACCAATTGATTGGTGTGCAATGCTGCGCTCAGTAATATTCCAGATGTAAGGTTGACCGAATCCATCGAGTAACATCTTTCGACAAGTATATTTTGCTCGGGGCTTATGACCAAACAAGGAACATAAAAACGATCATTTCAAACAACTTTTACTTTGGGGGTAACACAATAATGTTTTATGCATGACCGGTCATACTTATTCACGTCACAAAAAAATTGTACAATCTTCTACTTTGATAGAATTAGTGGATAATTATTGGAAGATTTTTTCAAATATAGTTTGATAATTTTGACCAGTTCTGTTAGAAGCATTTTGTGAAAAAGTGTACAAGTCTGATTATTTATGCCTCAGTTGTTCATATTTGATGACTGGTTGAACAACAGAACATAGACCATGTTACAGAAACATAATCCATGGTACAGAAACATTAGGTTGACAAAATTTAAGCCTGAAAAGTCTGGCACTATCTCACCATATTTGGATGTCCATGAGTGTTGGTGAAGGCCATGGTCTGGGCAAGGTCGGCAATCTCTCCCCAGCTTTTCATGTCGTACGCACTCAGGGACAACTGCAACAAACACAACAAAACATGTTCAAGCTACAACTGAACCAATGTTTCAGAACGTTTCTTGTTTATTCCACAGTATGCAGTAGATAGCACTGCTGGAATCACTTTCAAATCAGATCAGCCTGTATATGAGGTTACTGCCATAAGTGCATGTTGAAGTATGGGAGTCAAGATAACCACAGCCTTACAATGGCTTTGTGACACAGAGTCCACATCTGATTGTGAGTGAGTGAGTATAGTTTTACGCTGCTTTTAGCAACATTCCAGCAATGTCACAGCGGGGGACGCCAGAAATAGGCTTCACACATTGTACCCATGTGGGGAATCGAACCCAGGTCTTCGGCGTGACGAGTGAACGCTTTAACCACTAGGCTACCCCACCGCCTACATCTGTTTGTGATTCTCTACATATTTGTCTTGATCTGACAAACCCACCACAGGTTACACAAGGTGAGAAAATATCAACCATTCAGCCAATTGACAGATGGAACCAATCAGATGCCTGTTCTATCCTGATTCAGCTCACTACATCTTTATCTTGCCCACACCACATGTCAGTTCAGGATTACTTTTTTAATTTCTTCATCACCATTCTCCTGTCTTTGAAATTTCAGTCACAAGAAGACATGCAGTACACAAAATATTCTATCCCTACTGAATCCATTTTTATGATACAGAAACCATATAGGCTTCATTTCCCAGCGACAAGAATTTTTAAGGGACCTATCATAAGTTTCAAGTGATTCTAAATGACACAGCATATACAGGGCAAGTATCAAGATAAAAGTGTTATCTTGCTGACCATGGATAGGAGTTGGCATGGTGTGCCATGTTGGCTCCCCAAAGTAGCAGCATTTTACCTCCAGGCCTGACCTATGCAGAGTAAGGAGGAAGTCTCGGTCTCCGTGGTATGTAATCTGGGCTGATGACGTCTGGAATAGATATCATCATCATCATCATCACCATCATTCACAGATTGAACCACAGAACTCATCATCATCATCATTCACAGAAGATTGAACCACAGAACTCATCATCATCATCATCATCATTCATCATTCACAGATTGAACCACAGAACTCATCATCATCATCATTCACAGATTGAACCACATCATCATCATCATCATCATCTCATCATCATCATCATTCATTGAACCACAGATTGATTGAACCACAGAACTCATCATCATCATCATCATCATCACATCATCATCATCATTCACAGAAGATTGAACCACAGAACTCTTCATCATCATCATCATTCACAGATTGAACCACAGAACTCATCATCATCATCATCATTCACAGATTGAACCACAGAACTCATCATCATCATCATCATCATTCACAGATTGAACCACAGAACTCATCATCATCATCATTCACAGATTGAACCACAGAACTCTTCATCATCATCATCATTCACAGATTGAACCACAGAACTCATCATCATCATCATCATTCACAGATTGAACCACAGAACTCATCATCATCATCATCCTGTAACAACATCTGACATCAACTTCTCCATTTTCTTACTCGTATTTAACATCATATCTATATCAACATGATAACCTTTACTGCCATCATGGTAACCTCAACAACATAATCATGAAGCATTCAACTTGAAGGATAACAAATTTTTATTGATCGTATAGAGCAACATTTTGATGTAGATTCTTACACTGTTATCAAGCTGACAGTGAAAACAACTCAACAAATAAAAAAAGCTACTTTTCCCTAATCTTGAAATACCAGACCAACCTTTGGTAAATCTTTCACAACTTTAACTCCAGACTTGGAAACTGTGAGTACTGCCATGTGGTCTTTAGACACTCGTAGAATGACCTCTGACCTCGGGTCATCTGCACTAGGGTTGACCGGACTTGATTGGACTTGGGTGAAGATGCTGGCTTGAAGATTCAGATCCTGAAAAGTTGAGGAGTGCAGATGACTAAGAATATCTTTCACATCAAGTGACTGATGTCATATCAAATACATGCCATGACATCACTTACTTTAACAGAAGTGGTGGGAGAAATGAAGCAATTTGTCTGGATCTGCTCACAGGTAGATATTGTTCCCTAAGTCCAAAACAAAAGTCAGCAAAACGTCCCAGATTGGACTTATAATATGTCAAGCTGAAATAATACTGCAATATGTGTCTAAAGTGGGTTTAATAGTGTCGCCTTCAACAATATTTCAGTTATGTCAAGGCAGGCTTACATAAAAAGCAAGACCCAATTCACACATGTACACATGAACCACTTTGGTGAAACCCAGGAGCATGGGTGCGGTACAAACCATGGATCACAGTCAGGGTGAACTGGTAGTCAAATCTGTCAGCAGATGATCTCACTCTCCAAGGGAGACAACTGTGAGTGAGTGAGTGAATGAGGATGGTTTTATGCCACTTTTAGCAATATTCCAGCAAAATCACGGCGGGGGGCACAAGAAATGGGCCATGTGGGGATCTAACCCGGGTCTTCAGCATAATGAGCAAACCCTTTAACCATTAGGCTACCCCACTGCCCCAGAGACAACAATGCAAAGTGAAATGGCACATCATGCTGCTCTAACTCAAGGAAAACTTCTGTGAACAACAGTCCACACACCAGTAGTGACACCTACCTGTAGAGAATGGGGGGTGAATGCCTGGCCGACTGTCAGAGGTAGGGTCTGGAGAGACTGGGTTTCTGGTCGGTAACACACAAAGTACTCTTCTCCTGATATAGTGCAGCTGGAAGGAAACATAACAAATTAACATTGTCATATGACACATAATAAGCATACGTTGAAATCATGTGAAAATGCTTTGACTGTAAATATTTCAAAGCAGAAAATGTTCAAGCTAGCTGTAGCAGGTGTAGAATGACTGAGTGAGTTTGGTTTTACACCTCAATATTGCAGTAATATAACAGCGGGGGACACCAGAAATGGGATTCACGCATTGTACCCATGTGAGGAATCTAACCCAGGTCTTCAGCATGACAAGAGAATGCTTTAACCACTAAGCTACTGCAACGCTCAAGCAGGTGCAGAAACATGATCATAGACAAAGAAAAAAGACATAATGTGTATCACATCATCACATGAAAACTGCGTCAATGAACTGATGTATCTATTCACCCCCATCAATCATATGCTACATCTTCACATACCTTGTCTCGACTGTGATCCACAGAGAAGGAACAGCTCGGTGAGATTTCAGCTTCCCTCCCTGTCCCACTGTTACTATGGTAACCTTAGCTTTAGGGGTCACGCCCACCAGGATAATGTCGTGATCTCGACTGGCCATGTACCAGTAGTCTACGGTTTCACTGAAATATCAGGAATGATCTGTTTGACTGGCATTGTAGAAGTTGATGAGAAATAACAAAAGCAGGATACTATATGGATGACAACTTCTTTATTAGATTATGATGGCATCCATGATGTAACCTGCCTTTCTGAAATGTCTGGAAGTTTGTGCTGTAGGGGACTAGATAATGATCTGTGTAACAGTTTTGACAACAGAATCTGGGATGTTTCAACAAAAAACAAGTGTTTGCCACTAACATGGTCACTCTTCAGAATCTTCTCCTAACTCTGAAGATATTACAGGAATATAGTAGATTTGAATGTATAGATACAGATTTTCTACCCAGGTACCCCTTCCCCTATTACCCTACCCTGCCATGATACCAGCTACGTTAATTCCTGACATCAAATTTGTAAGAAATTGCAATATATTCTTCAGCTCGGAGGCTAAAATTGGGTGCAATGGTTTTTGAGATATTGTGCATGCAAGTCAAGGTCACCCAAATCAACCGGTGTCTGAGTGATACCCAGTGTAGGCTGTCACCAGATTTGAAGACATTGGGTAGAACAGTTCATGAGATACCACATTAACAATAATCGGGATGTACGTATGCTGAGTACATAGTCCCCTGTTCCACGTTCTGGTGAAAGTGATGATCACTTGCTTGATAACAGTGTTAGAACCTACACCGAAACGTCGCTCTCACGGCAATAAAGAAGTTGTTCATCAATATATTTTTATCCTTCCTTATTGTTAGTAACCTGATTCAATATAGTAAATAGTCAGACTTGCCATGGACTTGATATGCTCATGATTATGGCGTAAAACTCTGCATTATTAATTAATTAATGCTTGAGCTTGTTGATACACACTGCAATATCACAGCGTATGACAAAAGCTTGTAAATCATCAAATCGGTCCCATGTCATCGGGGTGGGATGACACATGATAATATCTCCTAGTCAGAAAACGGTTGTGGTGACCTTGATTTTTCCCAATGGTGTCAACTATCTCAAGGGTGTTACCTGTTGGGGAGATCCAGTTCCCAGTCCTTGACACCGTCCGAAACACGCAGAGCATACAGACCATGGGCTGTTGCCACCACTACATTCTCAGCTGAAACATGCAGGGTAATGGTGTCAATGAAAATGTAATTTTTCAAGTAAAATTGATATTTTATACTTATCCTGACTCATGCTTATCTCCCTTTCCTATGCGAATGTCAGTGGAACACTTGAATCCCTTTAAGTTCATTAAGCGGACGTAAAAATACACTCACCCACGAGTTACCTCCCTTTCCCGCGTAAACAGTCATGTGACCAACCTTACTTGTCACTCTCTCCCTTTTCGCCCAAGCGGATGGTTGGGTGAGCACTGGAGTCCCGTATACGGCATAATATCCTTTTTATTTAGATCGTATTCTTCAAAATTACGCTGTGTATGGATTTGGCTATAATTACTTTGTATTATAATGATATGTAAAAAATGTGTACAAATTATTTGCATTTGTGTCATATTTTCATTGTTATGTAACTTGTTTACATTTCATGAAATCATGCAGTGTTTGCAGGATCCTCACCCCCAATACCCTTCGTGCATCAAACCATGTTCTTCCAGGATAAGAACAAATTGATTTATTTTAAGCATGAAAGCACACACACACACACTCCATCTCATCCTTCTCGTGCCCCACCCTCACCCCTCCCCAACCAATCAACAAAAAGAAACAACAAGTGTCACTAACATGGCAATGTCCCCCGTCGCTAAAGAAGAACAAGTGTTTGCCACTAATATGCCAATGTTCCCTGCCGCTAAAGAAGAATGAAATATTTATAACATATTTACTACTTTTTATTTTTTGGTCACATACAAGGTGCCTGAAATGACTGGTGTCTGCATAATCACCCAATGTAGGCTGTCCACATAATTGAAGACATTGGGTGCAATGTCACATTTACATAAGGTTGAAAAGTGGCAAAGTGTCATGGTGACCTTAAAGATAAGGTCAAGGTCACCCAAATCCACTGGTGTCTGCGTAATCCCCCAATGTAGGCTGTCACCAAATTTGAAGACATTGGGTACAACAATGCATGAGATATTGTCTTAAGACGAATTTGAAAAGTGATCAAAGTGTCGTGGTGAACTTGAAAATAAGGTCAAGGTCACCCAAATGGACTGGTGTCTGCGTAATCCCCCAATGTAGGCTGTCGCCACATTTGAAGACATTGGGTAGAACAGTTCAGGACATATCGTGTTAACAAGAATCGCGACTTATGTACATAAGGACTTACTGACGCTGGTGAATACATAGTCACCCGTTCCACGTTAACAGAAACAGAAGAGCTAAAAATTAGATCCCACAAAGATTACTCACCTTTAGAACGTCCTGTGAAAACACCAGAAGCCCTGTAATAGACATTTCAGGAAGAGTTCAAGTGAATGTGAGAGATACAATATATCAGTTATATCAAGCAAGGTGAAACATAACCACCAGCAAACAAGTAAACACACATACACACAGTTGAAGGCGTAATTACTAAGTAATGACATAACATACCTCATGTTTGGTTCAGCCTTCAGCACTGACTCCCATGAGAGAGAGCCAGTAGATGGGTGCCAACCCCGCACCATCTTGCCCCCTCCAGACACCGTTACTAGGGCTGCAACAGAGGCACACATCACTAGCTTCTTGTGTCTTTCTTAAAGACACACTCAGCAACATTCCAGGATTTTCATACCTTCCTAAAAGCCAGTCAGTGTGTATAGCTATCAGCCATTGGGCAATTTACTCATATCATATGGCCTAAAAAAGTATGGGATCCAGACTAACAGTTGTTGGATTTCAAGTTTAGAGGAAGCCTTGAGGCTGAATAGATTATGCTGCTGAATTTGTGTGCTGGCAATTATAGATGCCTAAGTCTGTGATTGTAAATTCCAATCCCAGATGGGACATCACCTAAAAATAGTACTGGAATTTGTGCTTTAATATGTGTTATCCCTAATAGAATGTTTGTTATATATCATTGCAGGCTATAAATAATCAGGCCCTTGGTTGAGATAATCTGAAATAACGAAGCAACCAGATTTGGCCATGTCTTCTTCTATAACAAGAAATTGAATGGTTTGAGTTTAGGATCTTCCAGTATGTTTATTCATAGAATGGCATCTGGGCGTTTATACTAATATTAATAAGTCTTTCATAAAACACACAAGCACAAGTTTGAAGGTATTCTATCGACAATACACTATGACTGAAACTATGATTCGAGCTCAGCATATCCCAACACATCTAAGGGACACAACTCTGAACAGTGAATTGTAGCGCCATAGACAAGTGAGTTATAGATATAAATTACAGACAGTGGTAGTTTCACTGTGATATGGTGTCACAATATTAGGAATTCACAACAAAGTAAACATTGACAGTAAACTCACAGCTCCCCTGGTGAAGCACAGTGTCCATTTGACCTCTCTCGTCCTCTTCAAACATACGTCGCCACACTGAAACGTCACAAAGAGGATACTAACTGCTGTTTCGTTATTTTGAGGGTATTAAATATACTTTTACACTATTGGGTTTTGAACATTTGAAACTAATTCTACTTATGTGTTGTTTCACACAACTTCCAATATCAGCATGTGTAATGATGCTCCAGGTGACACACATAACATCATAAATAGTGATACGTGTATAAGTTACAAGCGGGATGTTGTATGTCTATTAATTACTCACCCGTTGAAGATATCACTGTTTAATATATCGACAATGTTATTACACATTGTGTAATAATATTGCGTGATGTCGGACGTATGACATCATAAAAATTTAGAGTTATGACGTCATAATGCTAATACCTCTGTAATAATGGTCTCGAGTCATCACAAGGAAAGCAGTTTTGATCAATTTATGTTGGAGTGTAATAAACAGAATACTAAACTCCCTTCCGTGAAGTACCAGTTTTATTAAACTTGCGAATGATTTAGTATCAAACTCGCTTTCACTCGTTTGATACCAATTCATTAACTCATTTTATAAAAATGGTATTATACAGAAGATCGTTTAGTATCCTCCATATAATTTGTGCATTTTTCACTGAATTTTAATATATGCATGATTATTGTATTCCGTCAATAAGGAAATACCTGTAACTGCATACATGTACACAAGCTGAAAATGATAGAGTGCATAATTACATAGTGTTAGTATACTGTTGGGTTATGACATTACTTCATATGAACTGGTACGCAAGCAGCTCAAAATTAACTTGGTTACAGTAATCTGGTGATTAAATTTGCAGTAGTGCAGAGCTGTTTCATAATATCATAACAGGCATCAAAGTTCCTGTATTAAAGCACCAATGACCACTCAAGCATGCTGAGCATAAATCAGTCACCTATGCTTCCATTGTTGGCATGTATGGAGGCGAGTACATTCTTCTCTGTAGAAACAAGGAGCTTCTTCCCACTAGATGACTGGTCCCAGAACATGTACACTGGCTTCCCCACATACGACTGCTTCCTGAAAGAAACAATGAGCTCTTATTTATGAAAGTGAGATAACACTAAGAGCAAATAATGCAGGGCTCGATTTAAGAGATGTTAACCTACTTGCACCAGGTGCAACCTAAGATAAAAACCTAGTTGCACCAGCTAAAGTCCAGTTGCAACGTAGTGTGCTAAAACGTCAGAGGTTTCAGTGCACATAAACATATATCCGGGATGTTATACCCACGAATCCATAGCAACACAGAGACACAGCTGGTTCCTGTTTACTCAAGCTGTCATAGCCAAGAGGTGTCTATAAATAGCAATGTTTTGATGCCATAGCTATTCAAAGTTTAGAAGAAATATGAGCTGACATATTTAAACAAACCTGTAGAGGTTTTCAATTCTTTGAAGAGAGTCAGTCCTTGGGGTATATATATGCATTTTCTGCAGCTGAAAATGTCCTGTTACAGTTGTATCAATGTTTTAATAATAATATTGTACAATAAATAAAATCTTCATGAGAGGCATTATGGGAGGGTAACCGACAGGAGGATAGGTACTTAGAACCAACCTCATGAGGTTAAGCATAGCAAGTTTGCACACAGTCGCGAAAATAGACAAACCCACCCACATCATGGTCTATTAGAGAGCAGAGTAGGGGAAAAACCAACTCATAACCGACCATAATCTCCGGAGAGAATCGAAAGGAGTTAGATCACACAACAGCGGACATATCAATAAACACAATTGAAAGCAGCGCCAACTAACCAGATAACCAAGACTCACTCGGTCAGGGTGGCAGGACACTGTCCACTGGAGAGAACAGAATGGCTAAAACGCGCATCGATCACGTGAATGTATCGAGCTGATAGTGCCTGATAAAAGTGGTAGGCTGCTCCAAATAGCGGCAGAGCATATCTCTTCAATGGGTAGTGCTGATGCAAAAGCTTTTGGCGTGGCTACTGCCCTGACCGAGTGAGCCTTCAACCCCTCAGGGGAGACTTCAGCACAAATGACCGAAACAAGCCAGCTTGAGACAGGGTCTGTTTGCTCGCCCGGCACCCCAGCCTTCCCGCCACCGTGAATAAACAGAACAGATGGGTACCCGCACGGATCCCTTGTGTTCGCTTTGATATAGACCTTGAGAGTCTTGCGGACATCAACGGGTGAGTGCTGTCGAGGAGAGGTCCCCATGTGGAAGGCTGGGTAAGAGTAGGAAGTTGAAAGGAGCTGTCATATGGAAAGCGTGGTCGACCTCGGGCGATGCAAGTAACCAGGAGGCGAAGTACTGACACGATCTGGATGGAACAGTCGCGGCGCCCGGGTCTGCCGACATAGCATGTAAGTCGCCGACCCTCGCCCAGACGTTACGCCACCAGAAATACAGCCTTCCATGTTAACAACTGAATGGAAATAGCCGATAGACATGAGAACATAGGTCCGACAGCCAATCTAGCCTCGATTGACAAATCCCAAGGTGGGCTGGTTCGTCTGACAGCAGGTCGAACCCGATCCACGCCAGCTAAAAGCTGCATGAGAGGGTGCTGCCCCAGAAGAGCACCATCGACATGGGTGTGAAAAGAGGAAATAGCTGTGGAGTAGCCCACGCGATGGTCGAAGCCGCCAACCCTTCTTCCAAACGAAGCTTGCAAAACTCCAATACCACGGACTAAATCCGCAGAAAAGGGATCTGCAATCTCCTTATCTGAACACCAAGCGGCGCATAAGCGGGACCACCTATCCTCATACTGAACGTTTGTCGAATCCCCGCCTCGAAGCCAGGAATTGTGTCTGCAACTGCTGCAGGTATTCCGCGTGCTCACGAGGCTAGACCTGGCAGAGGCCAAGCCACCCACTGAATCCTTGGATTGGGGTATGGCGCTACCTCTGAGTGAAAGAATGTCCGATTACGCCAAGGTAATAGAACAGGAGGCTGAGCCAGAAACCTGAGAATTACCGAAACCAGCTCTGTAATGACCGCCAGCGGTGCCAGTAGCACAAGTAGCCGAGCGGATGGGTGGACAGCTGGGGAGAGGACCGGGGAATGAGTGGTAGCGAGGAATGAAACACTTTGCCCATCGAAATCCAGCCAGAAGGCGTCCGGAAGCCAAGCGCCCTTTGGTCCGTATTCGAGAGCAGAACACGCCGTATCTGATTCGTCCCGCCCGGGCGACAAACAGATCCACCTGGAACGCTCCATTACAACTGGGATATAACTCCGAATATCTGCCGGTCGAGCATCCACTCGTGTGGGGCCAAGATCGGGCGAGAACGCCTGCTCGCCGACGTTCTCCAGCCCGGGAGATAAACAGGAAGCACCTGACAGGCGCACTGGTCGCACCAGAGGAGAAACTCCCTCGTCTCCCGAAGAGCGCTGAGGACACCGTGTACGCTTGCTTCAGGATGTACGCCATGGCCACGGGTTGTCCAACTGAAGATCGAACCACCTGGCCCTGAACATGCTCCCGGAAGCGCTTCGAAACCAACCGCACAGCTTCTCAGTTCCAAGACGCTAATGTGAAGGCGGGCCCGGCTTCGGACCAGAGTCTGGACACGGACAGACCGCTCCAGAACACCCCCAGCCCGTGAGGGACGAGATCGGGTTTGAACTGTAAGAGCTGGCGCCAGGTTTTTCCAAAGGGATCCCCTTGGAGAGATTCCTGACATTGGTTCGGCACCACTGAAAGTGAGGAGACAACCACCCGGGACTGTGAGACTCTGCTCCAGATCCTCCTCGAAGTGAGCCCACAGACTCGCCAAAGCTTGCTGTATAGGGCGATCCTCAACCGCCGCCTGCCACCACACTACAGAGATAGTCGCACGCCATATGGCCCAGTAGACGGAGCCAAGTCCGCTGGTGCCTGGGGCTGGAGAGAGGAACGGAAGACACCATCTCCGTACTCTGGTGACCCGATTCGGGCTTACAAGGAGACAAGATCCTTGTGAGTTCGAACCGGCCCGAGAAAAACAAGTCCTGGGTGGGTACCAGGTCGGATTTTTGAGGTTTATGATGCACTCCCAGTCGAACCAGAATGTCTATCATCGTGGTGAGTAGAATCTAGGCTCGCTGGCTTGAGTTAGCGCTGAGCAACCAGTCGTCGAAGTAAGGGTAACAACGCCTTCCTTGCAATCGGCGGGGTAGCTGGCACTTACATGAGCTTGGTGGAACACCCTGGGGCAGTGGATATGCTCGGGCGGGGAGCTGCGTGGTGGTAATTCATCCCGTGCGTAAGAGAACCTGAGTGTACTGCTTGAACGATGGATGAATGGGCACATGTAGATCACGCATCCTTTAGATCGATCGGCGTTAGCCAATCGCCGGGCTGAACAGAGGAGATCACTAAGCGAAGTGTCTCCATCTTGAAGGATGGAACCACTAGCATGCAATTTAACCCCTTGAGGTTGAGAATGACTGAACCCGTCATCTTTCTTCGGAACGAGGAAGTACGCGGGAATAAAATCCCGCCTGTTCCTCGCCCGGTGGTATGCGCTCTATTGCGGACTTGTCCAGCAGAGCCTGAACCTCGTCGCGCCAGTATACCCGCCCTGACCTGACATGGCGGCACCGGTGTGCGATGTATGCGGTGAATTCTGGCGGGCCACCGCTTCCACAGTGGTAGATGGCCAACACTGACGGTGGAAAGCACCCAAGTGTTGCTGGTAGCCTTCTCCCACCGGTAGGAATAGAAAGAGCCGGCCCCCCACTGGGATCGCCTGGTAAGAGCTGGAGTGGTCCCGGTGAGCCGAACCGACTGGGACGGACCACGGCGACAGCCTGTTGGGTTAACGGAGGTCGGGCAGTGAAAAGGCTGGGAGCCAGGCGTAAGAGGACTGTTCCTTGCCCTTACCCTTGGCGAGGGCGGCTCATCCGCCCACCCTGCTCAGCGGCCGGCCAGCCGGCAGACTCAGGTGTAGGCTGCACCCCAGAGGAGGAAGCCGTGACAGGAGCTCGGGGCGAGAAGCCCAGCGGGTGCTCCAACAAGGCCATAGAATCCTTGAAGGAGGTAGCTGCAGCAGCAGCCTCACGGAATGACCTGCTGAGCCCCAGGAAACAATGTCGCACTCCAGACGGAATGGAAGGGCCAGCAAGGTCGTGGCGAGACGTCGACAGCCACAGCTTGTGCATCCCCATGACTGCGCACATCACCGTAGGCGCCGCGGACCGCAAGGAGTCGCGACGATAGGTGGGCCTGTACTTCGGATAACTGGCGAAGCAGAACAACATGCGGGGACACGTCCCCAGTGTTCCCTTCAGCCTCCAGGGCCGACCTCTGAATAGAGGAAAGGTAGGCCTCGTGGATCACCACCCGCACCTGCTGCATGGCATTCCGATAGACACTCGTCGACCACGGTACAAAGAACAGTGGATCGCCCCCAGCTGGTACCTCTTGGACGAGTTCGGGCAAGGCGAACCGGAGGCATGTCCCAACCAGAGGGGATCCATCACGTCCTGCACCAAGGATGGCAAGATGCGGAGCAGTGTTGCGCGGGGGTTGCCTAGGGCAAGCGCCTGCGCCCGGCAGGCGGAACTCAGATGAGTCCGAGTGACTGGTGGGTACAGCGGCTTGGGGAATAAACTTCGCAATACGTTGCCCCACCTCCCGCAAGGAGAGCCGCCGAGAAGCGGAAAGTGCCCTCCGGCTCCTCGACCTTCCCAGCGTCCATAGACTCGGCACCCAAGCCCGAGTCAGAAGCTGGGTCTCCGCGAAGAGGACCCGAAGCCCGACCCGGTGGGAGGCCTAGCACTAGACACAGAGGGAAGGGAAGAGGCGAAGGAACTCCCAGCTCCGGCACCCGACACCACACTCAAACCCCAGTCCTGAGACACGGGAGGAAGACCGGGCAGAACTGGTTCCTTCTCTCTCATGGGGCGAGGCCGAGGCGCGGGAGCGGAACCCGGGAATCCTCAGCAGATCCTGCGCCAACACCGAGAGGGGACTGGGAGTGAACCCTCCCCTCCCGGGATAGCCGGCAGCGTCTGGACCCGAAGCCAGAGGCACCGGATCGACAGGCGCCTCCAGGCTAAGGGATCGAGCCAGGCTCGGCGATCCCACCCTCGGACTCTCCATCCCCTGCTCAGAGTGGGCGAGGAACTCCTGGACGGAGACCTCCAACCGACTCATGAACAAGGGACTTCACGAGTCCATGTGCTGCTGAAAAAGTTGCGTGATTAACGACATGTCAAACCCACTGTGTGATGGAGGAGGTGTCGGGGAGAAGCCAAGCACAGCTTCGCAAGCGTCGGGATTGTGGCCGACTTTTTAAAGACAACATAAGCACTTGTCGTGCTGGTCAGCTCGGGGATGCTCTGCCCACAGACAGAACATCCAGTAAGCGCCTGAAAACAAACACGCAAGCATGTAGCTAACAGTGGAGCCAGCAGCATAAATATACACGCACAAAACATTGAAAATTACGTGAATGCGACCACGGGGAAGAAATACTTGGTTAAGAGCGCAATATGACAACCACGTGGGCACGCTAAACTTCCCACCATGTTATGCTTATAATGTTAGATTTATTGTTGATATAATTCTCAAAACTTGACTTGCACCTGGTGCAAGTTAGACTAATAACTAGGTTGCACTTTGTAATATTGGGTTGTACCAGCACTAAATCGAGCCCTGAAATATGAGCCATATTAATTATGCTAAACAATAAAACATCATCCTAAATTTTTATTCTGGGTTTAAATCTTGTAAAATATGAATGCATCAATGTTTCAGTCAAAATATAAACATTGGCCAGTACTCATGGGCATGTTGTAAACATTGTATCTCCCACCACCAAGATCTATGACTGATATGTAGAACATTTTGTGGTTATTGTGAGACATGTTTTCAGTAAGCTAATAAAATGAGCAAAGTGGCCATGAGAACCTTACTCTGTGCATGAATACCTGATACTGAAGCAGTGTACAGAATAGATGGCACATTGCACAAGTACTAATACTGCTTATCTGATGGGTTATTGTCGCTGTTAAACAATGATGGAGAAATGCCATTTATACAAACCATTAAATATTGACAATGAATATTAAAGGGTTTAACACAATGTAAGACGTGATGATATTGAAATGGGTGATTAGTAAGCAATTGGAACAAATTGTTTGTTATTGAAGGTTCTGCATCCATCCTAAGACATTTTATGAAATAATTGTTTCAACACATATTATATAGTTTGAAGTACCGAACCCAGATCTTCGGCATGACGAGCGAACGCAAGTAAGTTAAGATTCATAAGGAATAGTGCACTTTGCAACATGCACTTTTCTTAGATTTCTATTAGCAACAATCAACCTCTCTTTGCCAGCTTGAAGCTAACCTACTGATATAATCTAATTAGCCAACACCTTTCCATGGTACCACAGGCCCAATCACAAATAACTGGTGATCGTTTACCAAGTCATCAGCACTTAATTTTTACTTTTCTGTGAATGCGTAGTAATGATTTTTATCCTCCAAACAGTGTGTCAGTGTGTTTATCGACAAGTGGTGCCCTACCCTTATGATTGTATTGGGGTGTCTGATCAGAAAGAAGATCCAAAGGCTAAGGACAGAGTTGGGGGTAGCCTAACATAACCCTAACACACTCTCTCAGGCAAGAAGAGGCAGGCAAGATTGAAGTGAGGACAAGAGGTTGGAACACCAATGGATTCTTTAGTACGCTGCACTCAGTAAACTGAATGGTGGAAAGAGTTCCTTCCATTCCCCAACCCTAAACCTAACTCTACACCTAACCCTAACTTAAAGTTTGGACTTTTAGTATTTTTGTTAGTTCTCTAGTAATTGTTCTCTTAAGTTTTGTTAATAATTTTAGTATATGTTAATTTATAAACATTTGGGATGGGGGAACGGGAGGAACTCTTACCCTGAACGGTTTTTAACTTCTCCCATCTGACTATAATACATTAAATTAATAGCCCCCAGAACAGGCATGGAAACACGAATCAAGCAGCGGATGTCGGAAAAGGTAACATCAGCAACCTGTGTCGATCATCCTTCACGATCTAGCTCTGGGAAGCCAACCTCTGCATCATCGACTACAATTTTTAAAAACACGCAGCACTCCTACTGCATCTAGTACTGTTAACGACATTGCATTAATCAGATTTATCCCAGGTAGATTCGTGCAAAACAGCATCATCATCCAACCGGCAACATTTTGGATCACAGCTAAATTAGGTCACAGTTGAAATATTTGTGTAAAATAACAACACTCTCATTCATACCAATCAAATTTTCCAACTTGATCTTCATAGAGACCAAATGCCGGTGCAATCAGCAACAGAAGTTGGCAAAGCTTCTTAGCACATGCAGCCGCCATGTTAGCAAATAACTAAGGGAGGCAACTCTGTCATATGTTATAAAAAAAGGTTGACTTCCTGTGTATTTGATATGGCGGTGCCCAGTTATGTGTAATCTGGGATAGGCTAAAGTTTACGTTACATGAACACGCGTGAATGCACTATGCCTCGTAATCACAGTCTTCCCAAATCAGATCACTGAAGCACCCGTTCACCGAAAGGTAAGTGTGAGAAATGATTGCGAACGGTCGAGATTGTGGTTCAGTTTTCACATTCAACAGTTGAATAAACTGCATCTTCACATTTAAAAAGCAAATGTCAGTTCACCTGTAATGGTATGTATAACCTGTCTCTTGCCCCCCAAATAAACCCATGACAAGACACCACATATCGTCGATTTGAATCGTGATTCCTACACTTAATGAGGAAAATCTGTTTGAATTACAGATGATTTTACTGTCAAAAGACTCAATTTAGCTGAGCGTTCATCCTGTATAAGTTTATCATGCTTGTTTCATTGTGTCTGTCTATTAAGTTCTTTGGAGAAACAGTTACATTCTTCCACACACTGTTTCTCAGTTTTGAATTAATATTTGAAAGTATTTGCCAGAAGTGTATATCAACAACAGCAGACTACAGCTAGAGTAAAGTACTTCCAATAGATATTTATCCTTTTCTGACCCTCCCCTACCACTTCTCAGACTTAATTAGGCTTTTTAATCACAGAGAATTAAAAATGTTGCATTAACTATAATTGATTTTGTCCCTTCATCAAGTACATAATCTTATGGGTTATTCTGAACCATCTACATGGAGGTTTGCATATCCTGAGAATTATCATGATTTATTGTTAATAACCACAAAAATGAATTACGGTGGTGGTCATAACATCATGAATAAAGTCATGCTCATGATGGGTAAGTTGATCATATTGATTTGTGTTTGTTGATGTAAGAATAAATCATGGAAAGTTGGAATATTAATTAAAAAGTAGCCTTTCATTAAGAGTTTATTCTTTCAAGGCTTTTTCGTTTTGTGCTGTTGTGTTGCAAGATTACAATGTATCAAATACAAACTCTGAAACTTGTTGCCTTATTTCTGAAGAATATTATTCATACACTTTTGCTGGGGGATGGTTAGGCTAATGAGCAGATAAATCATGTCTGCTGACAGGTCATAGCTCTTATGTCAGCCTTGTTTATGGACTTTGAAGGGAGATAACTCTTCAGAGACTACAAAGTGACTTCATGGTATTCAGATTGACATTTAGATGTTGAGATGTCACTGCCTGTAACATTCCTGGCATCTTTCACAAGCTCAGAAATATAGTATGAGCATTCAATGTTTCATTTAGTTCAAGTATCATTATGGTTATTGTTGTATAAACATATTCATTCACTCCTGCTTATAAAAAACTTTCTCATAGGGATTCTGGGTTAGAATCTGTGCCCAGTTAATATACATGTATTTTGTTAACTTGGTTGATAGCATGTCTTCTTATTTAGCTCGATATCGATGGTGTGGATCATTGCTCATAATATTGATCACCGGACTGTAGTCCAGATTCTATTAGTTAAAGGCTGCTTTCATCATTTATATGAAAACAAAGAAATTTCTAAGAGCTGCATGAAAGAAGTAATAGGAGACTGCTCTCTATGTCAAATTTGAAGAATGTGAAGTTTTGATTATGAGCAGTAGTTTGGTTGGTCTGAAGAGATGTGAAAATCTGGGACTATGTGTTCTTGTTTTCTTTCAAGATCTCCTAATGACTAGTTAAACCAATGATTAGTCTATGAATATATCTAGTTTTGAAAAAAACACAACTAACACAATTTGAATTGAAAAGAAGCCCCAGTTACTTGAAGTTGAGGAAAATTTAGAATTGCTTCATTTAATGATTTTAGGGCTTTTGCATTGCAATTTGCAGAAACTGCTTGTTGGAAAATGATGTGGTTCAGGGACTGTTAGACAGACCTGGAGAATGCTTAGTATACACCACTGTTTGCAGAAAGCTATTAATATAAGTAATATAACACTCTCTATATTAGCTCTCCCATCACACCTCTGTTTTGTTTACAGACTGTGGTTACAGTCAGTTAGACAGCAGGTCAGTTTTGATCAGACCGTGGATCATACAGGGAATGCTTAATGTTTGTAATGCAAACTTAGTTTGTCTCATGCATGTTATAGGTACCAGGTCTGTATTGCTATGGTTATATGATACAATCATATGCCAAGACCTGCAGGAACATTGGAATTTTCTTGAATTATAGATATTTAATAAGGTTGAAGTATCAGAAACCTATCCATTTTCCATCAGTTGTGCTTCTATTTCTATAATATTGTATTGTATAAAAATTGCGAAATATTTCACCTGTCACACTTTAACATTACCTAAAGACAATGACCTCACCTGTTATACGTGCACTGTCCAACCCCTCTTTGTAATTATCACAAGATATCCAACAAAATCTCAAAATCAGTGAAAACATAATGTATGATATAGTATTGGATAATATTGTCTTAAGAGATATGGTTCATCACTTCATGATCACTCAAGTTGTTATTTGATGAAGGTGAACTACTGTACCTTTGGTTTTATTTTAACCTGTCCAAATGAATTGGACAAAAATTTAAAATCAGAAAAATGTATTTCCTTACTCATCATGTCGTTGATGTGTGCTACAACTACTGATCGACCCACAAGGCAAACCAGTTAAAGAATGTGTGAATTTAGGTGTTTATTTGTTTATGTACAAGTGCTTGTTGTGGAGAGAGAACCCTGACTTTGTTGTGATAGTTGTTTGTTTACACTCCCAATTTGTTTATTTCTTTTATTTGGACACGAATCTTACCCGGCCACTGTTTGATTTTCCAATTCAGGAATTTTGTAAGGTAAATGGTGTCATTATCTAGCCCGATGCTATGGCTGTGATTGTCAGTTTGACATCCCTGTGCCATTGCAGTGAGCGGCAATTCAGACATCCTTATCCAAAATTTGGCAAATATGCTGGTCCACTAGACAGATCCATTTAAACTGGATCAAGGCCAGATCCCTGTTTTAATTTTGAACATAAATGTTAAGATATATTAATAAGTATAAGTATTTTATTAAGTGTTGATATATAAATGGCTGGTCCTGTTCTTAGTTATGGTTGAAGCACTCATCAGTCACATGACCAACTTGTCCTGTCTGGTACCCATGTACAACATGTAGGCAATGTAAGCGGAATATTCAGGTCTTTTCCAATAGATTTTTGTGTCCATTTATTCAAAATTACCTGCTTGTGTGATGAATAAAAGTTATCAGGTAAAATGACAAATGCCTACACATAGTTTTTAAGTATGCCTTAATGTTCACCTTGTACTTGCATTTGGCCAAAGTGAAATAGTCTGTGAAAAGTCACATGCATTTAGCGTCTGTCAAGTAATTTTTGAAAATGGAGTCTGATGTCCCTCACAGGAGAGAATGAGACACAATAAGCTTTTAGACATGTAATGACACTCTAAACTGTTATATATTGGAGAAAATACACCAAACTACTGAAAGCTGCCTCTATCAGCACATATATGGAATCTGGCATTCATGGCTAAATAGCTTTCCAATTAATGTATCTAAAGTTGAATGCAAGTTTTTCACCTGATGAATGAGCAAGAAATAGTAAAAAGTTTGAAATGTTGTATAAAGAATAAAATGAAGTTTTTGCCCATAAATATGTGTCATGTATTCATGTTTGTCCAACTTAGAACATTGCTAAGGTTGCCTTCACCTGTTTTAAGGCCTTCTTTACACCTTTCATAAACACTGATTTTTGCTGTCTTCGGCAAATATTTTGACAATAGCAACAATTGTCCCTGATGGTCAATTCTTGCCCAACCTTGATGGATATTTTCTTTGTCCATTGGATGGTCAGGCTTGCTGACTTGGTTGACTGACCACATGTCATAGCATCCCAATTGCGTAGATTGATGCTCATGATGTTGTTTTACTTTATTCTGTGGTCCTGACTTGATTATTTACAGACAATTGCTGGAAATATTGCTGTGTGCGACTTTAAAAAACAAACAAAACAAAAACTTTATCCATCAGCCATTTATCCTGTCCAGAAATATCTAAATCATATTATAAAATAAGATATTTCTTGCTACAGGTGGTGACAGTTCTTCATACTTAATTATAAGTTGTTTAAAATAACAGCAGATAATGCACACATGAAAAATATATTTTTCGCGGGTAAATGTGAAAGAATAGTTCTTTGTCTCATTTACACTACAGCATTCTGCAGTGTGTGGCCTTTATTAAAGGTATTTGATATTAAAACAAAGCAAATGAGTCATAATGAGAAACAGGTTTCCATGGAAACCCTGTGTTCTGACACAGACATGTGTCAGCAATACTTCCATGCTACAGGAAAGCCAAGTTATTTCTTGTTGAGTCAGCAGTAATTGCTTGTTAAGTTAATATGGAGATAGGTTTGAATCGAGAAAAAACATAAAAAAATATTATGACTGATTGTGTAAACTACTTCTTTGACTTGAGATGAAGGGCCAGATAATCACTTTAACTTCATTGTTTTCCAGAAGTGAAAAGGTTTTCTAAAGGCACCTTTGAAGAATGTTTTAGTCATATCACAGCATGTTGGCCTCACATGTGAGTAAAGTCAAGTGTTGCAGGTCATGCTGTTGACAGAAATGTTTCTAGACCTGCTTTGAGGCTGATATTTGGACTAGTGGGTTTCCGATAATCGACTGAAAGAAAGATTAAAAATGATTATCAGTTGTAAAAAACATATTTTCGATTAGTCAGAATTTTGTTGTTTTAGTATAACACACTTGAATGAAGTGAACTCAGAACCATAGATGAATATTCACGAACAAACCTGCTCAACAACGTAGAGCTATGCGCATTGTAAAATTTCAACCACTTTTATTGTTTAATTAATTCCAGTGTCTTTCTTGCATGCATGCATTTCATTGCATGACAGTATTAGTTATAAAAAAACATTAATTAGAAAAAACCTGGGGAAAAAC